TAACATCCTGCTTGGTGATAACCAGTGTCCTCCTTTTTGTTCCAACATCATTGTAGGCACATGGGGCACAAAACCAGTCAATTTCTGACCCTGGGTTACTTTTCTTGCTTGCTGGATTAGTAGGACTGTTGCTACTACTGCCCTAAGGCAGGATGGCCATCCTTTGCTGACATCATCAAAGCATTTAGAAAAGTATTTAACAGGTCTCTTCCAAGATTGCAATCATGATGTCAACACCCCCAGTGTTAATTGGAACCTTTCACACACAAACAGCTCAAAAGGTTTTTCTAAGTCCAGTAGTCACAATGCAGGAACAGTCATTAGAACATGCTTCAATTCCTGAAAGGTTTTCTTGCATTCAGGAGTTCAGACAAGAACTTCATTCTTTCCATTAGCTGCCGCATATAGAGATTGATAATCCACAGGTGACATCACCCAACCATTCCCAGAAATGGTCTCTGTTCTCTTTTAGAAAGGGGCTCAGGAGCTTGACAGAGAGCCTCTTTTCTTCACTAACCCAGACTTCTTTGTCCTTGTGAAATAGTGAAACCCAAATACAGTACTTCTTTTTCTACAATTTGAGCCTTTTTCCTAGAAATTTTGTATCCAGATTGTCCTAAGAAATTTAACAGACAAAGGATCAGTTCCATGGAATGCATGGAGTTGAGAAAGCTATTAAGACGTCATCCACATACTGCAGTAATGTTACACCCTCATCTTCTTTGTGCCGTCCTTCTAAGTCGGTACCAAAAATAACTGGGCTATTTTTGAATCCTTGCAGTAACACAGTCCACATCAAGTCTTTCTCCTGGTCTTTAGACTTTCTTATTCAAAAGCAAGTAGCTCTTGACTTTCGCTTTCCAGTGGGATGAAAAAGAAGGTATCCTTTAAGTCCAACACTGGTCTGAATTCTTCAGGGTTGTCAATAAAGTATAGGGGTTAGCTACCAACAAGTGCACATCCTGGACCATCTGACTGGTAGCCCTAAGATCTTTTACCAAGCGATATTCGAGTGTGGCTTCTTTACTGGAGAAATCAGAATGTTAAAATGAGACTGGCATTCCACAACCAGTTTGTGTTTGAGAAAAGTATCTATTAAGGATTCAAGTCCCTTCCTAGTTTCCAATTTCAAAGGGCACTTTTTACGTCTTACCAGTCTGACATTTGGTTTCAAATGGATCTTTACTGATTCTGCACCCCATGATCATCCTGGAATTCTTATGGCCCATATCAGCAGGGTGACTGAATGTCAGCTTCCTCTGGTTTTTCTGGTTCAGGTTCAGGAATATGTAACAAAAAGACTTGGGTGTCCAAGACCTTTTCTTCAGGAATGCGAACTTGGTTTTTTACCTTTTCAAATGTGATTTGTGCATTTAATTTACCCAGTACATCTGTTCCTAGTAGTGGTATGGGACATTCAGGTATATAAAGAAATTGAAGGGCCTATGACCCATTTACAAATTCCAAATTTTAATGGTTGAAAGAAAGTCCCTTTTTCTTTTGTCCTGTAGCACCAACAACTGAGAGTATTTGTAAACTTGATTTTCCTTTACAAGTATTTAAAATAGAGTACAGCTCTGATAAGTACAAGACATGCTATTTCCTCCTTACCCAACTTTCCTATAACCAGGGGATCTGTTGGGGAATCTTTTGAGTCCTTCCCCAGTCCCCTTCAGTCCTCACATTAATCATTTCCATAGCTTCCCTTGGTATTTCACAGCTTTCCTGACTCCTGTTTCTATTCCTTGGGCTTTCTCTTTTCCAGTGCCTCATTTGTTTACAAATTGCACATTGTTCTTATCTAGCCACATTTGAGGATTTTGCCCCAGTCTTTGTCCTGGTCCCCTAGTCCAATTTCCCTCTTTTCCCATTACTTGAGTTATTGCCAATGCAAAAATTTACCATATTTTTACTTTTCCTTTTCTTTTTCCCTTTCTACTTCCTCACTATTGCTGCACACAGTCCAAGTAACTTCTAACAGTTTGCTTAGGGTTCTGGACTCTTCTTTCTCTGGTTTTTGAAATTTCCATTTAATGTCAGGATTTGATTGTCCAATGAATATATGTGCTAATTATGCAGCATCCTCCTTTTTCTTGGGGTCTAAATCAGTATATTTTTGTGCAGTTTCCATGATTCTATTAAAAAATCCTGTTGGGGTTTCCACTTTTCCTATGTCTCCCATGGTGCACTCCTGGAAAAGTTGTAGCCCATGACTTGGACAGGTGCCCGGTTAAGAGCTGGTTGATGGCCAGGCCCAGAGAGTTGGCAAGAATGCTGCTGCATACAGTTGGCATCTGTTCAATAGTGGTATCCCCAGGGATCAGTGTTGGGCCCAGTCCTGTTTAATATCTTTACTGATGATCTGAATGAGGGCATTGAGTGTACCCTCAGTAAGTTCACAGATGACACCAAGATGGGTGGGAGTGCTGATCTGATGGAGGGTAGGAAGGCTCTGCAGAGAGACCTGGACAGGCTGAAGGGTCAAGGTCAAGGCCAAGGCCAAGGCATGAGGTTCAAGGCCAAGTGCTGGGTCCTACCCTTGGGTCACTGTGGCAATGGACTTTCAATATATAGAATGGAAAAAGTACTGTCAGAAATGGACTAGTGGGAAAAATGAAGAAACCAGCCCAAATGTTGTAAAAACAGAAGTTTTTAATATTGTTTAAGTGACTATTCTTCCAAGGTGGTTTTTGTAGTTCTTTGCCAACTCACCTTCTCCTTCCCAAAATCCCACTGGCAGCCTTATCTCTACTTTGGAATTTCCAGGATATAGCCTGAAGTTTTCTCATTGGACTTTATTTACTCCTTTCTATTGATTGTTAACCCTTGCCTGTCATTGGTGGGCTTGTAAGACGCCATGAACTTTTGATTGCTCGTTTTGCAATCCCCCCTAAAGCTATGTATATCCCTACACAACACGATAAACTCTCTCTCCCTCCGTCCTCTCCTGCTGTGGTCTCTGTGGACTCCCTGGGGACCACCAGGCAGGGGGCAGGGAGGGAGCACCTTCCCCTCCAGGCAATGGGCAAAATCCCCTAGTCCTGGAGCCTCCTCCCTTTCCCATTTCAACGCCGCAGGTCACAACAACCCCATGCAGTGCTACAGACTGGGGAAAGAGTGGTTGGAAAGTGGCCCAGCAGAAAAGGCCTGGGGCTGCTGGTTTGACAGGAGCTGAACATGAGCCCAGGTGTGCCCAGGTGGGTAGGGAGTCCAATGGCACCTTGCTGGTGCCAGCAATGGTGTGGCCAGGAGGACCAGGGGAGTGATTGTCCCCCTATGCTGGGCACTGGTGAGGCACCTCGAGTGCTATGTCCCTGTGTCCAGTTCTGGGCCCCTAACTGCAAGAAGGACATAGAAGTTCCGGAGCATGTCCAGAGAACAGAATGGAGGTGGGGAAGGGTCTAGAAGGTAAGACCAATGAGGAGCGTCTGATGGAGCTGGGGTTGTTTAGCCTGGAGAAGAGGAGGGTTAGGGGTGACCTTATCACTCCCTACAACTACCTGAAAGGACATTGTAGCCTGGTGGGGATTTGCCTTTTCTCCCAGGTAACAAGTGACAGGAGGAGAGGACATAGTCTCAAGCTGTGCCAGGGGAGATTTAAGTTGGACATTAGGAGTAATTTCTTCAATAAAGGGTAATTAAACAATGGAACGGACTGCCCAGGAAGGTGGTGGAGTCACTGCCCCTGGAGGTGTTTAAGAAAAGACAGAAGCTTTAGCCATGAAAAAAAGTTAACAGGTGAAATGCTACAAATGACACTGTGATCTCTGAAAAGTGAACTGGCACGGAGAAATGAAGCTTTGGTACTGACGAGAGGGCTTTGGGCACTCCAGTGAAAGCTTTGAGCTGTAAAAGAGGGCTTTGGACGCTCTGAAAGGGGCTTTGGGTCTTCAGACTGGATCTGTGGGCCCCAGTAATGGGCCTTTGGAAATGAAAATGAGGGCCTGAACCTTGAAGTTAGATTTTGTGCCCTCAAAGAATGCTTTGTTGTCCTAAACTAAGGCTCTGCCCCCTAAAAAGGGATCTTTGGGGGCTTAAAAGTAGTGGAAATGAAACCTCTAGCACTCCAAGTGTGCTATCTGTGACCAGACTCACTTATAACCCTCAGCAGCCTTTGACTCATCCGGTTGCTGCAGCTCCTGGAAGAAGCAGGAGCTTTGCTGGCTGATGAACATTCACCAGCAGCACCTGGGGAGGTCAAGTGACTTCCAGCTGCAAGAGATGCCTGGACTGTGACAGTCATGGGGTTCTGTGGCCTCAAAGGGACATGTACCCATGTGGCCTTGTGTCACAAATGCGCAGAGATGCAGCATCAGTCCAGTGATTGTGACCTCACCTGCCCAATGCTTAGTATACTGAGGAGTGGACCAGCAAAAGCTAGTTGGCCTGAGCTGGCCTTCGGGACATCTCAGCTCTTTCCACTGATTCTTGTGTGCCTGCCTTTTTCCAAGCATTTTTCATCCTTGGCAGCAGCTACAAGCACCACCAAAACACTTTTGACAGCTGAAGGTGCTTTATGGGTCATGTTTGGGGTTTCTAAATTATTTTGTTGAGCTACAATAATTTCCTTTCCCTTCAGGTGATTGGATTGGTGCTGATCTGATCTTTCTGGAGGAGATTTTTCTGGAACTCTGTCATCCAAAGCTTTCCCCTCTATTCCTGAGAGGGGTGATGGCTGCAATGGGGAACAGCTCCTCTGAGTCTTGACCTAAAAATCCAAGGCACTAGAGGGAAAGGAAGGTAGCCTGAGGTCCAGAAAGCAAAGTGGGTTTGTTGGACTTCTCGCAGAGTACACAGAGAAACAGACTATTTTCCGAAATTGTTTTCCTCATAGAAGATGTCAACAGGGTGTTAGGCTTTGCCCAATGTTACTGGCTTGGCAATTAGAGCTGTCGTCCTCAGTGCTCTTGCAGACAATGCAATATTTGAATACGCTTTTGAGCAACAATATTGTCTCATCTCTTTTCAAATGTCATTTCTCCACAGCCATTGCCAAGGGAATGGCTCTGCCACAAAGGATCCTCTTTCCCCCAGAGAAGATATGCATGGACTGGCAGCAAAGACAGAGACCTGGAGCGGGACTCCTCAACCTGGGAAATACTTGCTACATCAATGTCATCCTGCAGTGCCTGACGTACACACCCCCTCTGGCCAACTATCTGCTCTCTCATGAGCACAGCCAGTCATGTGAGTACTTCTAGGAACACCTTCTTGCAAATATCTTGGGCAAATCCCGAGGATTGCCAGAACCTGGAATCAGATTTAGGAGACAGCGGAGAACTTTAGGAAAACTTCTTTGTCAGCCCCAAGAAGCTGTTTGTCCTATCAAGGTGCATTCATCCTCAGAAAAACACCTCTTTCTAGCCCTGGGTCTCTACCCCTGCAAGTTAAACCCTCTTGACTTATTGCACAGAAAACTTCTGCTGAAGCATTAAATCCCTCTAAAGCATTAAAATGTTCTGGGCTTGTCGGGACTTTGGCAGCCTGGGAGAAGTTGTAGGAAATATTAATATAATATATCATAAGTCAAGGCACAGATCAGACACCAGTTTAACCAGTTTAACCCGTGACTGAACCCGTTTATTCCCTTGACTCGGGAGTTTGTGTGCGGGGTTCAAACAGTGACGTCACACCTGCGACCTTAACAACCAATCCCGACAAAGCCCTTCACTGCGCATGTGCACCAGAGTCCTGGAGACTTCGTTTCCCAGAATGCTCTTCTGGTAGTCCCCCTGAAATGCTACATCTCCCCTCTTTTCATTACAAAAAGATACAGAACAGTGAAATTTTGAACCCCTTTAGTTAACCATTTTTAACATAACATCTCACATCTAACAAGTAATTTTATTAACTGTTTTTATCTTTATGGATTTGCAGTTTGCAACAAGTATTTACTTAAGATTTTTCTCTAGAGGTCTTGGGGGTAACTTGGTAAGAATTTTAAACTTTATTTTACATAACAATTTATTCTTAACACAGTAATTTTACTAACTGCTTTACCTTGTAAATCTTAGGTTTCCAACAAGTAGGTTTGTCCAAGATTTTCTATTAAAGGCTTTGTGTATAACTGGTAGAAGCAACAACTTTATTACTCTGAAGGCTTGTATACAACTAGATAGAGCATCAACTTTTATTTTTCTGAGAGTCTTAGCATACCCAGGTAGAGTATTAATCTATTTCTCTGAGGGTTTGAGTAGAACAGGGGGAAATTCAACTTTATTTCAAGGAGAAGGATTCTTAGGGGTAAGTGTGTATTTTGCTGTCCTTTGATATGTCAAGGCATATGAAGTATTAAGTATTTTTAAGTCCACCCACATATATGTCCACACAGCTTTTCTCACTCACAGCATTTTTTCATTCACTCGATAGGTGGCTACCTCAGTCACTCTTCACTCACAGTTAGAATTTTTATTATATCTTTGCATTTTAATCACACATTTTAGATTTTAAGTATTATTGGCTGTGTGCTTCTCTGTCATTTCTGGTAGTCATGTTCAACAACTGTACCTGTTTTGAAGAGGAATTAACACAGGGAATATAAGGCTTAACAAACCTAAATGAGATCTATTCTGATCCAGCACTCGTTTATGCGCATGTATATTCTCTTCTCCCCCTTTTGTTTTGACATATGTTTGGTGTGCAGTGTGCTTTCCTGGCAATAGTTGTTCCATGATTGAGCCTTGTCTAGAAAGCCAAAAGCCAATGAACTCAAAGATACATAGATGAGTCACTATTACAATCTATTAACACAGCTTGAAATCCAGTGTCTTCGGTGAGAGATCAATCTGCGTTGTTTCTGGTGTCTGGGATATAGTTACTTTTCAGTTCTTGTTCATCCACTCTTGGTTGCTGCCTTTTGTCTTTAATAACAAACTTGGCAAACGTGGTAATAACAGTTTAGACAGTCTTAAGTGGAGAATGAGCAGAAATAAATGTGAGGGTTAGGCAAATATGCAGTTTTTCTGTAGTCATGTCTAGGAATAGTTGAAGTCAGTTAATAAATTGAGGTAACAGCAATAAGTCATTTTATGCTAAATTGTCTTTTTACCTCAAAGTTGAAGATTGAGGGGTGATCTTTTGTTGTGCAATCTTCTCTATTGTAGACAGTTTCATGGTTAAGTGTATGAGATTCCTTTTGGAGTGTTTGCAGTCCTGTTTCTCAGATGACATGGGTTAGAACAATCATAATCTGTTTTAACTCAATCTCTTAGGTAACTAGGATTTACAAGCAGCTACTTTTGCATTTACTGACATTTACACAACTTTTTGGGATAATAGAATATTTGAATGCATTAATTAACAAGTTATGGAGATGCTTAAAATCTTTTAAACACAATACTGGAACAAAATTATTATATCAACTTAATCTATGTAAATGAATTTAAAACTTTCAACAATCTTAAATAAGTTAGTTTGGGGGGGCAATGAAGGTTTGCTAGTTTAGCAGCTGCAGTTTCGGCAGCTTTACCACGTTGCTGAGAAAGCTGTGTTGGCAGCATTGTAACTGTTGAGCGCTGCAGGTCCGGCTGAGTTACAGGACTGAGTTACAGGACTCTCCCTGCCTCGGGCGGCAGGGCCCAATCCTGTCGAGGTCCTGGAGCTGCCTCGGCCCCGGCTCGGCCCTCGCGCGGCTCTGCCGTTCCGCTGCGCTCCCCCTGCCGCGCCGCGGCCCCCGCTGCTCTCACCGCTGCTCTCTTGACTCTGTTTTTCTTCGGAGAACATTCCTCAGCTTTAAAACAAGCCAAGTCTGAACGCTACGGCATTCCTCCCTGATTCAGGGCAAGTCTTTGGTCCCTGTTCGAGCACCATTTGTAGGAAACTATAATATAATATAAGTCAAGGCACAGATCAGACACCAGTTTAACCAGTTTAACCCGTGACTGAACCCGTTTATTCCAATGACACGGGGGTTTGAGTGTGGGGTTCAAACAGTGACGTCACACCTGCGACCTTAACAACCAATCCCGACAAAGCCCTTCACTGCGCATGTGCACCAGAGTCCTGGAGACTTCGTTTCCCAGAATGCTCTTCTGGCAGTCCCCCTGAAGCCCAAAACGCTGCAAGAAGTGGGACTGTTCTCAGAACTTCAAGATCTCCATTAGGTTTCCCATCACTAGGGATGTTTTTCTAACCTGAGAAGCTTCCCTCTCTCCTTCCCTCCCTCCCTCCTTCCCCCTCTCTTTACCTCTTTAGGCCAACAGCAAGGCTTCTGCATGATGTGCATCATGGAAGTACACATTAGGAAGGTCCTGCATTCCTCAGCCAGTGCCATCCTGCCTGGGGCTGTTCTCAGGGACCTCAAATGTAAGTTGTTTTAGGTGCTTCAACAGATTTTCTTCTTTCTCTTCCCTTTAGGGTAGAGCTACTAACTTCTTCTTTCTTAGTCATAGGAGAAGAGTTTGAGTATGGCAGGCAGGAAAACGCCTATGAGTTCTTGCGCTGTGCTCTCAGTGCCATGCAGAGAGCTTGTCTGAGTGGCAGCAGCGAGTAAGCACAAGCAAATTACTTTCTCACTGTTCCCGAACCTGTTGGGCTCCTTGATGTGCTCCCATCAAGGAAAACTGATGTCCAGGGCCTTCAACTTGGACTCTTAGAGGAGGTAACTCTCTTCCTTGCCATTTATTTTTATTTCCAGCATGGACATCTCTTCACAAGAAACTACCATCGTGCATCAAATATTTGGGGGCTTTATGAGATCCAGAGGTATGTTTCCAGAACTATTCCTTTCACATTGTCTGTGCCCTTCTTTCTGCCCGTGACAAATAGCTGGTCCTGGGACCAGGTAGTAGGTAACCTAAACATATACTGGCATGGTCAATTAACCCAGCATTTTGATTTTCTTTCCAGTCACATGCTTGAACTGCCAAGCAGTTACTGATTCCTACAAGGCCTTTCTGGATGTCTCTTTGGATATCAGAGTAAGAGGGCTTGCAATTGTGCTTCAGTATGCCTCAAGGCCCCTGTAGCTTTCCAGAACCAAAGTATTTGTCTTAAAAACCTACACTGCAAGCACAAGGGAGCTTGGTGGCGAGCGGGTCCTGCAGAGGCCATGACACTGGTGTCCCCGTGGTTCTGGCTTTAGGCAGGACAAGCAGCATTATCCCCTCTGCATCCTTGACATACTTTCCTCCTCCTTCCCTTTGCCCCCCCTCAACACCCTTCTGGCTTGCAGGCTGATGGGCTTGGATTGTTTTCACTACCGATGCCCCTGCATGACATCAGTAGCTGAACTGAGTGATGACACAGAGAGGGAACTCTTGATGGCTCTGGGAGCCTCTGGAACATGAGGGAAATATTCAGCATCACACCTGTAGCAGTTATATTAATGTAATAAGCAGTGGGTCCTTGGGAGCAGAGACAGACACCGATACGGTGCGTAAGAAACGCATGCCGTAGTGAAGGAGACGAGGGTTTAGAGAGTGGTTTCGAATGCTGACACGTCACAACACGTGACCTTATCAGCCAATCCTATACAAGCATTTAACTGCGCCTGTGTGACAGAGTCTATACAAACTACAACTCCCAGGACGCTTTGCTAGCACCCATCCTGTAACCAGACCCCACACACCCCCTCTTTTTTTGCCTCCTTCCAGACAATGCCTGCAGGTTCACAATGGGTATCCTCAGAGTCAGCTGCCTGGGTCTTCTTGTCAGCTCATGGGAAGTGTTTGGGTGAGGGCCTTTCCCACAGCTCAGCAGCTCCTTTCTCACTCCTCCAGGCAGCCTCATCCCTCACCACAGTTCTGGAGGACTGTGTGACACCCAGGGAGCTGGATCTGAAAGAATGCTTCAAATGTCGCAAGTAAGATGATTCCCAACAACATAATATCACCAGATCCTGCATGAGGGGTGGCTGAATGTCATCGAACAGAAGTCATCTTCTCATGGAGGTTTAATGCACAACAATGAGACACAGCTTTTGTAATGTGGCTCGGAACAGCCTTAAAATAGCGTAAGGATGACTGAGACAGGAAAGGTTGTCTGGTCTTCTTGGGGGAAGATCAGAAGCATTTCAGCACTCGGCTCTGTGCTTGGTTTCAAGGTGTAAGAAGAAGGTTGCTGCCTCCAAGAGGATCACAATCCATCAAGCACCCAGAGTCCTCACGTTGTGTCTGGAAAGGGCTGACCAATGGACTGGCAAGAAGATCAGCAAGGTGTGCAACTTTCTCTTCCTGCAGCAGAAGATTCCCCAAAGCAGTACACTCTGTCACAAGCTGTTCTTGTTGAGTTTTTTATGTTCCCTTCGGAGAGAGGAGAATTCCTGTGGGAAGACCAGCCTGGACTTTGCTCTGACAGAGAACAGTTTCCTGCCACCCAAACCATTACATATCGAAGGCTATTTCATGTGGTAGCTTAGGATCATTTCTGAGCCCTCTTGGTCTCTCTGTAGTTTGTGGACTATCCGGAGTACTTGGATCTTCGGCCATACATGTCTGACACAGCTGGAGAACCCCTCCTCTGCTCTTTATATGCCATCGTGGTGCACAGTGGTGACACCTGTCTTGAAGGACACTTTTTCTGCTACACAAAGGTAAAGACATTCTTCCTGACAAGGAAAAATGTGTGCTGGGGAAGACAAACTTTCCCAGCAGTGTTACTGGCAGCCAGGGTTTTGGGGGAGAAGGTCTCCTTTGGGATGGATTGGATTTGTTTTAGTGTACTCTTGATTCTGCGGTTTTCTGCCTGTGGTGGTGTGGAAGTTCCTCTCCAGATGGATGCCTTTCTTTTCAGGCCAGCAATGGACTGTGGTACAAGATGGACGATGAGTCTGTGGATAGTTGTGACACCCATACAGTTCTGGGGCAGCAAGCATACTTGCTGTTCTATGCCAGGTAATAGCCAGTGTCACATGTGTTCAGAATATGTTTACTTTTCCTGGCTTTGCTGTTTGTCTTCTCATCCTTCTGGGTGCTTCTGTAATAGAGAACTCCTCCTTGCATTCTTCAGTGCTGTCAGTTTTGAACTATCCCACACCATTCCTTCTCTTCTCTTGCTTCACCTCCAGGCTGTAGGGTGTTGCCCTGTATATACTGCCACTTGTCTGCTCTCTGAAGCTGGCTCACGTAGAGAACACTTAAAGGGGGCCTCCAGGAAACATGAGTAGGGACTCTTTATCAAGGAGTGTAGTAATGGGATGAGGGATAATGATTTTAAAGCAAAGAGGGAAGATTTAGATTAGATATTAGAAAGAAATTTTTCCCTGTGAGGGTGGTGAGGCCCTGGCACAGGTTGCCCAGAGAAGCTGTGGCTGCCCCATCCCTGGAAGTGTCCAAGGCCATGTTGGACAGGGCTTGGAGCAACCTGGGCTTGTGGAAGGTGTCCCTGCCCGTGTCAGTGGAAGGTGCTCTTGCCCATGTTGGAACTAGTTGATCCCTAATGTTCCTTCCAACTAGATTCTAGGATTCTAGGATTCTGTGAAATGGAGGCCATAGTGGGTGTAAAGACAAGGGCAGACCTGGTGAGAAGACCCCAGGTAAATGTCCCATTGGTGACCTTGGTGAATTCTTCTCTCTGTTGCTCCAAGAAAATGACTGAATCCCAGAAGACTCTACAAGGAATGCAGTAAACAGAGATCACTCTTTGTTCCTCCAGGTGCTCCAATTTGAAAATGGGAGAAATGGCAGCTTCCTCACCAGCACCGTCATATGCCCATTCCATCCTCAGTCAGACGAGGAGCAGCAGTGAGCAGGCAGGTTCTGCAGGACCACAAGCTCTGCCTGGTAGGATTAAGGTGACACACAGCCAAAGGAACAGTGCCAGGGAGAGGTCCCAGAGCAGATCCCCACAGTGCAGCAATGATCTCTGCAGCTGGTTCATGAACAGCACTGACTACGACAACTCAACAGGGAGGAGGAAGAGAACTAGTTCTTTAGGCTGTAACCACACTGCCAGGGATAACACAGCTCCAGGGCTCTCCAACTGGATCTGCCAGTGGACACCTGCACCCAGTGCTGCTTGGGTGCAAACCCTGCCAATACAGAGATCCTCATGGCAGGGCTATGATCTCTGGAGCCAGGTTGTGGAGATTACAAACTCTCATCAATCAGTGAGGAGGTTTGAGCATCGCAGAGATGCATGTCAGACAAACACAGTATGATGAGGCCAGACTGTCAGCCTGGATGAGGGAGCAGCACAGCATGAACAAAATCAACACTCGATTGGAATGAAGAGGCGGAAAAGCCAAAACCAGAATTAAACCCCGTTATTGGCCTGTGGAGGACCAGGCCTAAGCATGTTTTGCCTTAAACATTCTGTTACAACAGGAAAGGTAACTGGTGGAGAGGGTCCTGCAGAGCAGGGGCATCATGTTCTGAACCAACTTCCTGCTCCACCTTGAGACGCATGCTGTTCCATCCCCAACTAACTTGCAGGAGGAGTGCCAAAAGTGCTGGCTGTGCATGTGGAACACAACAGCACAAAAAATCTATTTTACATAAGAGGCTGCACCAGGTTAACTAGGAAAGGAAGTGGATTGAACCCCCCGGCTCTTTTTCCTCTCTTTCTCTTTGTCTCGCAACCTCAGCTTCAGACCCACGTGGCAGGACCAACGTGGGATCTACAGACTGGTGATATTCTTTGTTCTCTCTCTCCCTTTTCTATCTTTATTTCTCTCCTCTCTGGCTTTGTGTGGGCAAAGCACGGCTATGATATTCTACCCTGTGCTCCATGTTGAAGTTTGTTTTGGGAGTGGGGAGCTTGTGGAAGTGTGTTGTTACTTGTGAGCCAGCACCTTTGAGGAGCTTCTTGTGGGAGCTGAGAACTTACTGAAGTGTATTGTACCGAATCTAAGGGCTTGTTTGGCTCCACTCTTGCAGAAGTGTGTTATAATAATTTAAGGGCTTGTTAGCCCACATCTTTTTAATCTAAATATTAGGCTGGTTCCTGGAGTTATGGTGGCTGTACAATAAAACATAAAGAGTTCCCTGGCATGTAGCCCAGTGTCTTTGTTCAGCCTGACAAGAATTCAAAACGAACATCGCGCCTCTGACCATGTAGATCATGACATGACCTTGCATGAATAATCCTTCTTTTTAGGGCAATTGGTGGAAATACCCACTGTGGGATGTTGTGCATGATGGGATTTTGAAAGCTGTGTGCTTGCATGTGCCCATCTGGCAATCTCCTATTTTTAAATATGGATTTCAAGTCACTCAAAGGGACATGGCTTGGATGAGTCAACACTGATTGAAAAGGGCTGATAGTTGGACCCCAAGGGTTCTGCTCAGCAGCGCCAAGCCTCGTCTAGAGCCAGGAACAAGCAGTGTGTCCCAGGGGTCAGGGACTGATCCTGTTTAATGTCTTTCTTAACTAATGGTCTGCATGCTGGGGCAGAGAGAATACTCAGCAAGTTGGCAAATGACACCAAAGTAGGAGTGGTACTTAGGCCATGGGTCTCATGCTGCCACAGTGGAGAAAAGGGCAGATTGTCAACCTGGATGAGGGAGGAGCAGAGCATCTGACTTCTGCAATGCCAGAGAGGAAGAAGAGGAATGCAGGAAGTTTCAAAAGTGTCCCTAGCAGAGACCAAGTTGCACAAAGGGAACCAACAGGCTACCCTATCCCTCTGAGTGCTGCCTCTAACAAGAAAGCCCTAAGAGAGAAATTGGAAAGAAACTTGGACAGCTCTGCCAGCTGGTTGCCTGCCCACAGTGAGGCTGTGGACATGAAGCTTTGAGCCCTAAGTGAGAAGTTTATACACTGAAATAGGGCTTTGGACCATAAAAAGGAGACTTTCAAGGCTAGAAGCAAGGCTTAGGGCTCTAAATGACGATGCTTTGGTCCCTAAAAGAGGACTCTGGACTATCCAGATGGAGATTTGGACACTCAAGGTGTGGCTCAGACCCTAAAAATGACTGCCTGGGCCCTAAAAATGCTGCTTTGGATCTTGAAAAGAAGGCTGGTTGTGTCTGGTATGGCTGATTTTGGACAGGTCTTAATTGTCACCAGTAACATTGTGCGAGGATGTCTCCACACATTTTCTGGTTAAGGGCTGTGGGAAAGTGACTGGGGGTAAAAAGACAATAGTACAGAAATTATAGGGGAAAATATGTTGCTACTCCCTGGATGGAACACAGTCAGCATACCCAACCTCCCCCCCACAATACAATCTAAGGGCGACTAAATGGAGGGTGGAGTTGAGTGAAGACACCACAGATCTGTCAAAACCTTTGCAGGGGAGGGAACTTGGTGGTACTTTCTAACTGATCAGCTGCACAGCAGCTGAAAACCAAGGGACATAAAAGAAGATGTCCTGCTGTTCAATCTGCAACTGTGGCAAAATCCCTCTCCTTGGACTGATGGGTGTCCCCATTTCAAGGTTATCTCAGGTACTGCACTGAGATACCTGTCCCCAAGGTACAACCACCCCTCACTAAGACGCATGACTAAAATCACTCAAGCTCCACCTAAGCTTAAAAAAACAGCATAAAAGTGAGTTAAAAACTGGGAGAATTTAGGGAAAACTCCATCGGAACTTGTGGGATCGGTCAACGGGCTGAACCTGTCTCTCTCCCTGTAGGGGCCCATTGGGTAAAGGAACCACACTCTGTGCATGCTGAATGATCTTCTCTAGCCATCTTATGTCAGGGATTAGAGGTTGTCTGTATAGTGCTTTGAATACATTTTTGCAGTCAGATAGTATCATCAGCAATCCTTGAAACTTAACCTGTCGCAATTTTATTAATAAAGAGTGTTATTCCATGAATTGTTGGTGTAAGTCTTTCAAGGGTTTTGACAAACATTAGGGTTCGGGAAAATCTTTCCTTTTCATGTGACAAGGGCCAGCCTCTACTTTGTTCTGCAAGAAACAAACCCTCCTGTCCAGTATGTTCCAGTTCACGGTGTAACTAGTTGCCTAATCAATAGTAATGTTGAGGATCTTCCAACTGATCAATTTTTATCTTCTTAATTTTTGTGATCTGATCCACCTTCTTGTTCCAGTAAGTCTGTAAGGCTTGATCATTGGCATGAGCTTTGACCCATCCTATGTGGATTGGTCGGGATTGAGCCTGTAACAATAACCACTTCCAATCTTCCTTCTGCCAAACCTCCTTTCCATTTACTTGTCAACCTCATGCTTTCCATTGACACAGCCACTGTGTGGCACCAGCTCAGATGCATAAGAATCAACATATTTTGTCTTTGTTTTCTCTTTTACTGCCAGCAATTCAGCTTTTAACTCTCCCACCTATGCCCTTCCCATTCCTTCTTCTACTACTTCAATTCCTGGCTGAGGCATCAGTAAAACACATCTTTTACTTCAGTCTGATGTAAATGCAGAGCATCAAGTACAGGAGTAGGCTTATATGGCTGTTGCAAAGCCAGCATATCTGGGATCACAGCTACCTGTAATTTGGTAGGTTCTCCCAGCCCTTCAGTTATATCCATGCAATCCGTGACTCTTGAGACATATGCACACCATCTGTGTACTGCTGGCCTTTGTGCAATCCCATCTGGTGGAGCACTGCCCTTCTTAACACCCGCTAACAGGTTAAAAGGGCCTTCGATTTGCACAGATTGGTACTGGTGAATTTTTTCTACTTCTTTAAGAGTTGGGTCAGAGATAATAATACCTTTTCCCAGTCCATGTATCTTTTTTCAGTATCTTTTGATGCTGTGGAACTGAACCCTAATGGTCATTTAGGTCCATGAGGGCTTTCCTGGAACATATTATAGCAAGTCCCATGTTCAGCAAAACCCCATTCAACTCTTATAGGATCACGGGGGTAAACTGGCTCAAGTGATTGATATATTTTTAACTTCTCTGTTAGCATGTGTAAAGCCTGTTCATGACTATCAAGCCACTCCCAGGTCTTTTTTTCCTCATAATGCATAGAACAGTTTTGCTATTATAGAAAATCCAGGAGCAGACAGGAGAATTGCATGGGGAGTGTGCCCTAAATACCTCTGTGCTCTAAATCCCTAATTAGTTCATTTATCCTTCTCTGGATGCAGGGGAAATAAGGACCTTTGATATTAGCCACAACAGAAATGGGTAAGACTGGAGCAATTTTTAATGCAGTGATTTTCATATTCTCTCCAAAAAATTTACTAATTGGAGTTTTTACAGGCCTGAATGATCAAACATTCTCATTGAACAATTGCCAAACTTTTCCTTTAAAGATATTGTATCCTAAAATATTTTCTTCATGGCCTGCAATTGCAAAGGTACATGAAATCATTCTTTTTCCCTAGGTGACCATAAACAGGAGGATTAGGGACTTTTAATAATGCCAGTTCTAATTTTTCTTCCAAGGCTTCTGCTTTTCCCTCAGCTTCTTGAAATTGTGGTTCTAATAAATCATTCTATACCTAAAAACTGAGCTTTGGAAATGAAAAGGAAGGTTTGAACCATGAAGTTAGGTTTTGTGCCCTCAAAGGATGCTTCATTACCACAAATTAGGGCTTGGCCTCTAAAAAGGGGTTTTTAGAGGCTTAAAATAAGCTTTGAGCCCACCAAATCTCAGGCTGAATCCTAAAGAGAAGGCTTTGGTCCCTAACAAAGGAAGCCCTGGACCCAACCTGTACAATTTGGATGTGTCCTGAACTGCAGGGTTTTGGGGTGCCCTGCCCCTGACCCACAGGCTCCAGGGCTTCCTCTGTTGGATTCTGAACCATCTCTTCACAGTGTAGTAGGATAACTCCTCCATTTTTGAGTGTCCAGATAAAAAGCCTCCAAAACATCATTTTTTTTGTCCCCCAAGTGTTGGCATTTTAAAATTTTTCCAACATGACAATGGATTTTAAACCTTGTTATTCTCCATTTTTATTACTAACCACCCCTTCTCCAGACTTTTACCAGCAGACCAAAGATTTGTGCCTCATCTGGTATCATTTGGACCAATCCCAAGATGAAACTATGGTGCTGAAGTACAGGAGTCGCCCTGACCTGGACCTGGCCTAGGCTGTGCTGCTTCACTCAGAAATTTAAGGTGGAGCTTTGAACCTCTATTCGGGACCCAGGCCAGAGCAGTTTTGTGAGATTTTGCCCCAGGATATGGGTCAGGGCCATGTTTTTGCCCTGTCATAGCAAAATAAGTATGGGGAAATATTTGGTGGAACCATTCTTCCCTGGCCATGTTCCTTCTCTCCCCTGGGGCTGCTGTACCCCAGCCCTCTGTGTCCCAAGTCCTTAAGAGGCCTCTGGCCCCTCTCTGTGTCCCTTTTGTGTTTCCCTCAGGCCCTTTTGGATGCCTCCATGCCCCTTTGGGGTATCCTTAATTTCCCTTTGGATGTCCCCAGGCCCCTTAGGGTGCCCCTCCAAGGCTCCTCCATGCCCATTTGGGTAGCCCCAGCTCCCTTTGGATACAGCACCCCTCCACCTTCCCCCGTGCCTCTCTAGTTGCCTCTCTGAGCCCCTCAGTCCCACTCGGTGTCCTGCGGGACTCCCTGGAGCTTCTCCCTCTCTTGTTCTCCCTCATCTGTAATGCCCCTGGAATCCCCCCCTGCTTCTCCCCCCATCCCAGAGGTGTTCTAGGCCCCTTAAGGGCCCCTGGCCAGCGCTGGCTCCGTGCCCGAGCCTGCTAACAGGCATCCCCAGCTGCTCCGCCATGGAGGAGACGTGAGTGCACCGGGGGCCCCGAGGTTCTCCCACTGCCGGCACCCCCTGAACCCGCTGTTCCCCCCAGGGTGCCCTCGGTGGAAGCCTACGAGGCGGCCATGGTGCTGAGTGGGGTGGGGGATGCACTGGGGTACCGAGGGAGCCGCTGGGAGTACTGCACCTCGGGCCCCCAGATCCACGCCGAGCTGGCTGAGCTGGGGGGGCTGGCGGCCATCACGCTCGAGCCGCCCGAGTGGCCCGTCAGTGATGACACCGTCCTGCACCTCGCCACCGCCGAGGGCCTGGCCACAGGTGGGGAGGGGCTCCATGGCACCCCACAGATAAAGGGGATGGATCCCTGGGATTGGGTCCCTATCGTACCACAGGGTAGCTAGAGTGTTCTGGGTGAGCGGGATGTCCTCATTATACCCCCTAGGAGGTGGGAGTTACCTTTTGGTTGGGTTGTATAGTGGGGTCTGGGGGGGTCCCCGTTGTAGCCCTGGGCTCTATGGGGCAGAAGTCCCCCACTGTATCCATGACCCAAACTGGAGGACTGCTGGGAGGGGTTTCTGGGGGGACCCTGGCCAGCCCTGGAGGGGGCTTGGAGGCATCCTAATTCCACTTTCTCCCTCACCTCCCCTTTTAGGATTTAGCCAGTGAGGCTTATGGGGGGTGTCCTCATTTCCTCGGGGAGAGTGGCAGGTGGGGAGTGTGTGTCTGTCTGTATCTGTGTGTTTTTCACCATTTATGTGCCCTTCCATACTGGGGGTTGGAAGGGGGAACATTTCCCCTTCCCACTTTAGAGACTTGGCAGGGTACCTCTTTCCCACCCAAATTGGAGCACTCAGGGGGATTCCCCATTTCTCCATGAAACTTGTCCTGATTCCCCTCCAATTCTGGGGGGTCCGTGAGTGGTGTCTCCTTTTCCCTCCAGTTTTGGTGGTCCATGAAGGGTGTTCTCCCCCCCGCCTCCAGTTTTGGGGCGATGTACGCTTTCCCCACTTGTTTTGGGGGGAGAGGTGCAGTGGGGGGTCTTCCCTTTCAGTTTTGGAGGGTGCATGGGGCTTCTCCCTTCCCTCCCTGCCAGTCTGGGTAACCCAGGATGGTCCTCACGCTCTCCCCCCAGGCCTGGAAGGGGAACCCCTCCTGCAGGAGCTGGCTCGCCGCTACGTGGCTGCCATGGGAGACATGGAGGGACGCAAGCCTGGACCCACCAGCATCCTGGGTGAGCGGGGCCTGAGGATCTGGGGAGAGGCAGGGGGATTAGGGGGCCTCACGCCCCCATGCTCCCCCAGGCACCTCACAGCTGCGGCCTGGGGAGCCCGAGGGCTATCGCATCCCCTTCAACCCCCGCGGCACCGGATGTGGGGCTGCCATGCGCAGCCTGGCCATCGGCCTCAGGTGGGGCTGGGAAATGGGGGGACAGGTGGGGATGGGGGACAGAGGTATCAGAGCTGGAGGGATGGGAACAGGTTATGTGGGGGGGGGTCAAAATGGGTGGATTGGGGATGGGGGGTTGTCAGGGCTGGAGGGATGTCGGGGAACAGGGACATGGGGAATGGGGGTGAGAGATGTTGGGGCTGGGGAAATGGGTGTGTCAGAGCTGAAGGGAAGGGGACATGAGGGGATGGGGGTGGGACAACAGGGACATGGGGATGTCAGAGGGAGAAGAATGGGGATACAGAGAGGGGTGGGGCTGCGGAGGACAAGGTCTGGAGTTTGGGGATATGGTGGTGCTGGAGCTGGGAGGTCAGGAACAGAGAACACGGGGACAGCAATAGGGAGAATGAGCACATCAGGGACAAGGACAGTGGGGACAAGGGTGGTGGGATGGGAACAATGCTGGGGATACAGGACCGGGGAGGGTGGGGACTTGTCTGATGCCAGCACAGGTATCCACATGCCTGGGAGCTGCCGACACTGATCCGGGTGAGCATCGAGAGCGGGCGCATGACCCACCACCACCCCACTGGTGGGTGCCAGCCTGAGGGAGGCAGGGCAGGAGGAGACACAGGAACACCCCTGAAGCCCCTGTCCCCATAGGGTACCTCGGGGCACTGGCAGTGGCCCTCTTTGGGGCTCTGGGGGCTCGAGGGGAGCCCCCAGAGCGCTGGGGGGCTGAGCTGCTGAGGGTCCTGCCCCTGGCATGGGACTACGTGGAGGGCACCGGTGTGGCTGTGGAGGACAATGCTGCTGCCTGGCCCTTCTTTGGGGAGGCCTGGCACCGGTGAGGAGGCACTGGGAGTTTCCTGGGGAGACACTGGGAGCACAAGGTTGGACTGGGGAGGATACTGGGAGGGGTTCAGGGGGCCACTGGTGTCACTGGTGTCCTCTAGGCTCTCTCCCAGTCCTGGCAGCGCGTCGCACTGGAGTTACTGCTGATCCTGGTATTCAGTCTGTCCACAGGGCTGGCACTGCCCATCCTGTGCCTGCTGCACCTGTGTCCCGCCAATGGTGCCCTCGTCAAGGACACTGACCTGTGTGTCCCTAGGGTTCCTGGGGTTATGGGCTTTCCTGGCATTACTGCTGTCCCCGCTGTGTCCAGTAGCACAGTGCCGCCCAAGTGTACCAATAGTCCCCAGTGTCCTCACAGGTTCCTGAGGTTACAGGGGCTGCTTGGGAGCCATAGCCTAGTGACCCCTAGTGTCACTGGTTACCCCCTTGTCTGGTGACACCAATGTCCCCACTGACACCAGTGTACCTGATGACTCCCCATGTCTTCAGTGTCGTCCCTGCTGCCACCAATATCCCCAGTGACCTCAGTATCCCCATGTCCCTGCAGGTATCTGGACTCCCGTGGGCTTCTGGAGGGTCGTGGCCCAGCCCAGGTGCCATCCCTCCTGTCCCCAGCCGAGCGGGACACAGCGTACCTAGGCTGGGCGCTGGAGGGGTGGCCAGGGCGCAGTGGCCATGACGCACCCATGGTGGCCCTGGAAGCCCTGCTGGCAGCCGGCGGCAGCTGGGAAGACCTGTGTGGCAGGGGAGTGTTGCATGGCGGGGACAACGATTCGACGGGGACCATTGCTGCTGGGTGCTGGGGGCTGCGGGGGGGACTGACATGCATCCCCCCGGGGCTGCACTGCCACCTGGAGTACCGTGAGCGGCTGCTCAATGCTGCCCACCAACTCCATGTGCTGGCCTGGGGGAGACGATGAGCCTGGCCTGTGTCCCTGGTATCACCTGCTGTTCCCCTCCAAAGCAAGCCCTGGTGGGTCGCCAGGGCACAGCAAAGACTAGCATGGAGCCTTTGCCTGGGAGGGTCTCTGGGCTTTAGGAGGCCTGGGAAGGCCCCTAGGAGAGCCCTGGGTGAAGCAGGGCCCTTCAAGGGGTGCTGGGGTCTCAGGCAAGCCCCAGGAAAACCACCATAGCTGTGTCCAGGTGGCCTTTTACCCCTCCCCAGTTTGGGACCCCCGGACCCTCCCAACGAGCCTCAGTTATCCCCACAGTAAAAGCCATGTCCTCCCAAGTCACTCTGAGTCTGGGTGCGTGCCTGGCATCTCTTGTCCTGCCTCTGCCAGGGTTGAGACCGTACCTGGGTTGGACCCTCTGCAGCCAAACCTGCTCCCGGCTGAGCATCTCCCTGCAGCCCCTCCAAGAGGCTCCCGGCCATGGGGCATCTCCAAGGCCTGTTCCTGGGCTGGCTTGCAGACAACCTGTCTCTCCTGTACTGGTAGCCCAGGGCTGGGACCCAGTGCTCAAAGGGTGGGCTCACCACTACTGAGGAAGGAGCACACAATCCCGCTGCCACCTGCCTCCAAGTGCCACCCAGGAGAGTGATGCTTTATCCTTTGCATCCTGTTGCTCATGGTCACCTTAGTGGGCCCCGGGGTCCTTCAAAGCAAAAGGAATGAGCCTCCAGGGGGATGGTTCCCCAGGGTTAACAAGCCTGAGGGGGTTGGGCCTGAGATGTGAGGGCCAACAGGGTAAAGCACATCTGGTGGGCCCAGGGTTAATCATCCCAAGGATGATGGGATCAAGGACAAATGGACCCGAAGGTAAAAAACAACTGGCTGGTTGCCCCCACCCCAAAGGTGATGGCCCCCAGGATTAATCCCCCCCAAGTGTGATAGGCCTCAGGGTTTACCACCTTGAGGGTGATAGATCTGTGCTTCCAAAGTAAGGAAAATAGCATCACTTTTAAATCACTAAAACCTACACTTGGGAGACCAAATAGTCAATTTAAGATACAAACCCACAATTTCATACTACAAAACCACATTTAGACATCACAAGATTTATGCTTTTAAAGTTCAAAGACTCATTTAGAAGGTCCACAGCATCATTTTGAAGGCCTCAGATTTGACCGGAAGGTTCAGTGCCTCATTTGTAGAGTCCAAAGGCTCATATTTGGCCCCAAACCAATTGGATATGTTCCAAATCCTCCCTCTCAGAGGGAGAGAATTCAGTCTGCAATTTAGCTGGCTCAAAGCTGCCTTTTAAGGCTCCACAGAGGCATTTCCTCATGCACTTACAAGTAAAGTAGGTCCTGAGCTACTCTAGTGAGGGTCAGAGTGTTCATCTTTCCTTCTCTGTAATGGTGCAGGTGTCCCCTGTGTCACACTGGGAAGCAGGTCAAGCCCAACAGTCCAGCTGCTGTCCTACCTTCCAACTGGGACATGTGAGATAGCGAGCAGCAGGTTTTAAGGGCTGCAGTTGGCTGGCTCCATCCAACAACAGCTCTTCCTGCATGAGGTGGGACAATCTGGCATCCTCATCTGCCTGGAGAAGTGGGGAGTCCCCATGGCCCTGGAGCAGGGCCTGCAGTTCCTCTTGCCTTCCTCAGAAAGCAAGAAACCACCCCAAAAGGTCCCACCGAGGGCCAAACAGGGTTTGTGCAAGGATGGTGGCATCTCTAGTATGTGGTATTGTACCACTGGGCTGATCCCAGTTGCTGGAGACCCCTGGATGCCCTCAAACTACCTCTGCTCTGACTCCAGCACTGCTTTTTCAGTAGGAGAAGAGGAAGGAGAGAACTTGGCATCTCCTCTCCCAGGGCTCATGTTGCCACCAAGGGTCCCCAGAGTGCCATCACAAGTGCTCATAATGCCATCAGTGTCACCGAGTGCATGGACAGACGCCCAGACACAGTCCTGCCTCAGAAGGGCTGCTGGGATTCCCAAAGGCAGTTTAAGAGTGTGCTGCGCTCCCCTCCCCCATTTCTTGTGAGGGCCAACCCCCTGGAATGTTCAGGGGGGATCTGAAGTCTTGGGGCTGCCCCTCCAACCATTTCAGGAGGATATTTTGCAATTTGGGGGCATACTCCCAAATACTGGAGTGCCTGGGGCCTCCCGAGGCCTCCCTCCCCGCTCCCAGTCTGGTTAACAAAAACTGGTTCAAGCTTCAGCTTCTCCCCAACTTGTCTGTGCCCCCCATAGGTAGCGCAGTCTCTCCGGCCCAGCCTCACGGGCCCTCCTTTCGCAGGGCGGCAACGGACCGGACCCGGCGGCCTCAGGGGGAGGGGGCGGGGCCTGCCGGACGTCACGGTCGAAGGGCTGCACAGGCAGGCGTCGCTCCTCCTCTTCTCCAGGAATGACTGACAGCCGCAATAACCAACGGCGCCGCGGAGGCGGGAGGCGGGCTCCGCCTGACAGCCAATGGCAGCGAGAGGCTGGCGGGCAGCCAAGCGGCTAACGGCACTAAGGTGACAGACGGCACGAGCAGTCAATGGCGAGGCGGAGGCGGGCGCGGCCGGCCAATGGCGCGGGGCGAGGGAGGCGGGGCTGCGGCCGAGAAGCGGCGGATCTCGGTGAGCGCTGGGCCGGTGAGCTGCGGGTCTGCGCGCCGGGCCCAGACCCTCCTGCGGTGCCGGCGCTGACACCGACGGGGCTCCCGCTGTCTGACGCCTGAGCATACGCCCGGGCCACCCCCGCCCCGCTGCGCCCAGAACAGAACATCTGTTCCCCTTCCTCGGTACAGGCCCCCGAAGCCCTGGCTCCCCCCTGCTCCCCAGGCAGCAGCCCCAGGCCCAGGGCTCTCCCCGCGCCCCTCTGTACTCTCTCCAGCCCTTCAAACTGCTTCCCACAGCCCCCCCAGCAGAGCCCTAACCTCCAAATGCCCTGAGGTTCTCTGTGGTCCCCTCCCTTGATGCTGTGGCCTCGACGCCTTTTTCCCCCGTCTGTGCCCCCGCCATCACTCCCACTCCGCTCCCTCCCTGAACCCACCACCCCAGAATCCACCCCAGTTCGCCTGGCTCAAGCCCTCCAGTCTGGATCCCCTTTCCCGAGGGTGCCCTCCCCGTCTTCTAGGGGTGCCTCCCCTACTCCTGGGGTGCCCCTGTCTCCCCATGGTGCCTTCTCCCCACAGACCCCCCTGCGCAATGGCAGAGCCGCGGTACCTGCAGGCCGATTGCAGTTTTCGGCCCGGGACACACACGGTGCGGGTGACCCTGGCTCGCACTGTGCTGCGGGTGGAGGTGGAGGCTCATGGCACCGCTGATCTGTGGAGGGGCGAGTTCGATGCCGCTTGTGAGTGCCGGGGCGGACCTGGGGGAGGACTGAGGGAACCCCCCACGACTGCCACTCACTGAAGTACTCCTCGCAGTCATCGAGGACATGACCCGCAAAACTGGGAATTTCAAGCAGTTCGGCATTTTCTGCAGCATGCTGGAGTCAGCACTGATACAGGTGTGGCAGCGCCGCTCCTCTACATAGCGTTCTGGGGGGAGATGTGGTGGGGTATGTTTCCCACCGAGCCTCCCCCACTTTTCAAACCCTCTGCAGAGCAGCGAGTCCGTCAGCCTGGAGCTCCTCACCTACACCGATCTAGAGACCCTGCGTAGCTGGAAAGTGGGGGCAATCGCCCGGCCTCCCCCTTCCTCCTCTTCCCCCCTGAGTACTAGGCGCTACCTTATCCTCGTCTACTCTGTGGAGTTTGATAGGTGACAAGGAACACTGGGTAGGGGGCACGGAGGAGTGACACCATCCTCACCCCCTCCACGTGCTCCTCCCCAGGATCCACTACCCGCTGCCACTGCCTTACGCTGGGCGGCAGGACCTTGCCACACTGGTGCAGGAGTTGCGGGAGGAGCTGGCACAGCTTCGGGCACGACGCCTGGAGGAGATCCAGCACCTGCGGGACGCGTGAGTGGGGCTGGCAGCACTCAGAAGGGTTTGGGAGGGGTCAGTACAAGGAAGGAGTGCCCAGACCACCCCCTGCCATCCTCCTCAGGCTGCGACGCGCAGTGGAGGAGAAGCGGGTAGCAGAGGCCCGGCATCAGCGTGAGCACCGTCAGCTGGCTGCCCAGGTGGGCTGGGAGGGGATGGGGGGCTGCGTGTTGGGGACTGCTGGCAGCGGGAAGGGGTTCTGCCAGATGCACAGTGAACCTTTTTCCCCACCTTGCAGCTGGCCGAGGCAAAGGCATCAGAGCAGAGGCTGCAGCTGCGGGTGAAGAGCCTGACAGCCGAACTGGCCTCCTGCAGGAGGGGGTAAGGCTGGGGTGGGTGGTACAGGGGGTCTCATAACCATGGGGTGTCCCCCCCTCATGGCACTGGTCCTCTTGGCAGCCGCCGGACATCTGCCAGCACGGCCCCCTGCCCCCAGAAGCAACGCTCAGCATCCCTGGAGAGCCACAGGAGCAGCCTGGGCCGCCCCTCTCTGCGATCCCCATCACCTGCAGGTGTGGGACACTTGGAGGGACACACATAGGGGTGGAGACAGGACATGACTCACTGCCTCCTCACCCTGACCCCCTCCTCCTCCTCACCCCCCACCAGGTTCCCGCCTGCCACGCTTCGACCCCACTGCCTTCGTCAGGGCCCAGCAGCGACGGCAGAAGGAGGCTGAGCTCAGAAAGTAAGTGGTGACAGTGAACTTTTCACCATCCCAATGTCCCATTCCTCCCCAGCACTTGGGGGATCCCTGCCCCCCGTCACCATCTCTGTTGGGTGCAGCCAGCGGAACAGAGCAGCTTTTGGCAGCACCAGTCCAGTGAGGAGCCATGGGCGCAGCTCGTCGGGTGAGTGGGGAGCATGAAGAGGGCTAAGGAGCACCCACTCACTCGGTGCTGGAGCTCCTTTCTCAACTTCACCCCTTACCTCCATTTCTCCCTGCAGCCACAAGCTTCCGGAGCTGGTGCTCGGCAGCGAGCTCTGGCAGCAAAGGCAGTGAGCGCCCCAAGGCTATGCCCCACAGGTAACACTGGCGTGGGGCAGGATGCTTGGTCCTCCCTCCTGGCACCTCTTAAACCCCCTTATCTTGGGCAGTGACAGGAGGGTGACCCGTACCGAGAGACCCCTGAGCACCTCGTCCTGCAATGGCCTCTGTATGGTGAGTGGCTGCCCCTTTGGGGTCCCCCCACCCATTTGGGGCCCCCCTCTACATCCTAAAGCAGGGTGAGCATGACGAGTGGGGGAACACCCACCAGTGACCGCCAGTCTGTCCCGCAGGCACCTCGCCTGGCTGCCAGCCACAAGCTGCCCACACGCAGCGCTACTGGCAAGCGCCCTGGTAAAGGTGAGGCCCCATCCAAGTCCCTGGATATTCGGGGTGCCCCCCAACCCAATTCAGGCCCTCATTAATCCATTTTACCTGCACTGGCCTCCCCAGAGAACCACTCTGAAGAACCCTCGGCTGAGCTGGCTGAGATTGATGCCCGGCTGTGGGCACTGCAAGAGTACATGAACAGCCTGGACACCTGCATGTAACTCCCCCCATGGACCCTCCAGCCCCTCTGGGAACCCTCCCCCTCCCTGTGTCGTGGAGTTGACGGTGGTGTGGGGCAAGCGTTCCCCCAAATAAACCCTTGTCTGGCCCTAGGGCATGTTCTTCTTGGGGTAGGGTGGGGCTTCTGTCCCCCCTCTTGCAGTCCTCTTGTTCTCACTGTCCCCTCAATATCCTGCTGCTGGGGACATGGCAAGAGGGACACAATGTGTGTGTCAGGGGGCAGGCACTGGGACATCACCAGAGGGTGATAGGGGACATGGGAGATACAGGCCCCAGGTCACCAGTCCTGTCTTCTGGGCTACCAGTGAACTCAAAGGTTACTGCAATATGACACCAGGACCCACGTCGCCCTACCTGCCCCCTGTCCCCTGTGTGTCCCTGTGCCCCCTTCTGCAATGCTGCTGTCCCCATGGCACAAGCTCTCTGCTGTGGCTCTGACACCACCATGGCTTTATTCAGTTCCATGTCACACCAAATGGTGAGGTCAGCAGTGACTGGAGGCAGTGTGAGGCTGCAGTTCAGGGATGGTAGCAGCTGGCCAGGCCAGTACTGATCATGTCACCAGAGTGTAGAGGTCCTGGGATGGCAGGGTGGTGGCCTCTGTGCCAAAGCCACTGTTTGGTGTCACTGTGACTATGCTGGTGATGCCACTGTGGTGAGATCTTCAAGGTCAGTGTGAGGTGCTGCACCGTCGGTGCAGAATACTGGGGCGATGATGCTGACAAGCATGACCCAAGCACTGGTGACACCTTGAGGACAGCAGTGGTGCCGGCAGCTGCTCGTGGATGTCTGGCAGGCGTTGGTGCCGCCGTGGGTGACAGCCACAGTGGGGACGGTGAACGTGGTGCCTCGTGCTGGTGCCAATCAGAGCTGCACGCGGATGTCGGGCAGGAGGCGACAGGCCGTGACGATGTCGATGGTGTCGGCCACAGCGCGCAGGTCGCGGCGGGCCAGGCGCAGGCAGTGAGCGGCGGCGGCGGCAGCCACCTGCGCCCGGCCCAGGGCCCCCTCCAGCCCCCCCAGGCTTCGGGCAGCACTGCCGTAGCTCTGCCGCAGGGCGCTGCCCACCGCCCCGCGAAGCCGCCCCGTCCCCTCCCGCAGCCGCTGCTGCAGCAGCGAGGGGCTCCCCCGGCCGCTCCCCCAAACCGCCGCCGGCTCCTCCGCCAGCACTGGGGACGTCTTCGGTCCCTGCTCCTCCTCCTCCTCCTCTTCTTCCGTCTCGGAGGCTTCGCCCGGCACCTTCAGCCCGGCCCCGGGGGCTACCTCCGCCGCCCCCACCAGCAGCTCCTGCTCCGAGTCACTCTCGGAGGCTTCGCCCGGCACCACCGTGGGGGGGCGGGGGGCGGCCATGGCCTGAGGGGCACGGGGGGATCAGGCGGTACCTCCGAAGGGGGGGGGGCGCTCCGGCCTTGGCCTGGGGAGTCCCTCCCCCACTCCTCCCCGAGTGCTCAGACCCCTGTAGACTCCCACGGCCCACTTAGTGATCCCAAATCGCCACATCCAGGACACCTCCTCCCCTCCAAGCTCACGGAAATCTCCCACCTCCGCAGGTCACATGATGGGATGATCACGTGATCCCTGCGTCACGTGACCAGCGCAGCGGTAACCCGGAAGTGCCGTCACTCGCCATGGCGCCGGCAGAACCCGGCTCGCCATGGCGTCAGTAAGCGAGCACTGGAGGCGCTGCAGGCCCCGGTGTCCCGATCCTGCTCCGCGGGAACGGTGAGCGTGGGCAGGAGGCTTAATGGGACACCCGCGGGGCACCCCGTCCGGGGACAGCCAAGAGCAAGAGCTGGGCTGGCACCGGGGCGGTACCGCACACAAACCCCCTCACAGACCCTCCCGCCGGGGCCCGCCCCTCGCCCCGCCCATAGCACCGCCCCCACCCATTGGCTGCCCGCGCTGGCGGGGCGGGCCCAGCGTGCCGATTGGCCGCGATGGGCGGGCCAGCCCCTCCTCCCTGGGCTGGGCCCGCCCCCCGGAGGGCAGCGGTGACGTCGGTTTGGGGGGTACCGTGACCGCGTTCTCCCCATCCCTGAACTGTGGAAGAGTGAACTTGCAGCTCTTTAAAGAACTAAAGGATCCTATGGGAAACTGTCCTTAAGGACACAGGCTGGCAGCTCTTTGAGGCTGCTTTTTTTGAGTGCGAGAGCTTCATCCCCAAGTGTAAGGAATCGAGCAGGGCAGGCAGGAGGTAGCCTGAGAAGGCATAGGGATATTGTTTGGATATGTAGGGATGCGATCAGGAAAACCAAGGCGCAGATGCAACGGGACTCATGGTAGTCCAGCACGGCTTCACTGAGGGCAAGGGGTGTGTGACCAGTCTGGTGGCCTTCCGTGATGAGGAAGGCTGACCAGTGTCAGCCCTGGACTGGATTGGACGGGTGTGCTGTAAGGCCTTGGGCATGGTCCCTCGTGGCATCCTCATCTCCAAACCGGGGAGCTGGGAGGAGCTGTAGGAACCCATAGGGGCTGGGGGGGTCTATGGTGGCTCTAGGGCACAGAAGTTGCAGTGATCTATGGGGGTACGGGGCTTTGAGGGGGGTGTAGAGGCCCCTCATATCTATTAATATCTATTAGGCACAGGGGGTGTGGCCATTCCCAAGTGGATGTCACTGCTGATGGGAAAGGTGAGGCCAGCTGGGCTTTGGTGGCACAGGGGAGGACACAAAGAGTGGGACTCTGAGGGGCCCGGGTGGGTACCTGGAGCTACTCCCTGGCAACCTCTTTGGTGCCAAACTGCCGTCCCCCTCTCCTGTTTTTAGGCTCAGCTCCACTCGTGTGTGGACCAGTGAGTGTCAGGGGCCTCTTGAGTGAGGTGGGGGCCCAGTGCCTGGTCCAGAATTGGGACCAGAATCATGACTAAGGTGATGATCATGAGGAGAGTGACCACAACTGCACCCTCAGCAGGACGCTGTGGTGATGGTGGTGGTTGTGACCACCTCTCCATGGCACTGGTGACACCCTGAGGACAGTGGTGCTGCTGACAGGTGTTAGTGCCACTGCTGGTGACATCCACAGTGAGGACATGAACACGGTGCACATCCTGGTGACTGCAGCAGTGAGGGACCCACCTGGCCCCTCCCCCAACCTGCCACTGGCTCCTCTGCCAGCACTGGGGGGTCTTTGCCTTTTGCCCCCCAGTGACACTATCACAGGTGGGAGTAGAAGGCTTAGACAAAATTTATTAGAAGAATCCCTGCTGTTGAGTCATGAGGTGCAGAAAGGGCTCCCTTGCTTTCTAAACTCAGAAGTTTGGGTGCATCTGAATCCAATCTTAGCCTCAGATTACGTCAGTAGTTTAAGGAATTATAGAGGTGTGACTGAACGACTTTTGTCCTCAGGTTTTAATGACTGGCAAAATGAGCATATTTATATAAAATGAATCATTTATTATTACAAATGATCAGACAAAAGATCTTAACCAGAATTATTTACAACACAATATAAATGCTAAAACTACTAGTAGTATGGTATAAGATAAGATAGTGCACTATATTGAAGCATTATTAAATTAATTAAATATAAAAGCAAATATATTAAAGCTAGCAAAAAGAAGTTAATTAGAGATTTGATGTAACTCACCCATATCAACCCTCATGGGGAGATCTCTTTCGCTCAACTTTGAGGAATATCCTTGGAGGGTGTCTCCACCCAAGGGAGGAATCTCTACACATACACCCCAAGAAGGGTTATGTTAGAAAACATGACTGTGTGCAAGGGGACTGGACTTCTGTAGTAGAAACTGATTGACTGTAAATCACAAATTTACGGGCCAACTACCAGCTTATCTGCCACATCCAGCTTCAAAAAGCAGGATGTGTGTTAGGAGTTTGGTGAACTAGGCTGGTTTTAGCATAATTCAACACCAAAAAACATTACTGTGGCATCAGCAGTAACTCATCATAAACAGCTTGCATTGCTTGCATTCTCTGATTGGATTCTAGGCCTTACTGGGGTAGGACCCCTGCCACAAACCCCCATGGTGGTGGGGAGGGGCTCTGTTTGCTTAACCCTGAGGGCCTATGGAGTATTTGCCCTCCAGCTCTGTGCTCAGACCCCCAGAGGTCTCCCAAGCCTCACTGTCAGGGGTAGCCCTGTCTCTGATGTCCAGGCTCTGCATGTTCCCACCCTGCCCTGGGGACATGGTGAGCTCTGGGTACTGATTTAATGGTGTCCCATAGGCCGATGATGGCACCTCTCATGGCCAGTGGGGACAAGCCTTGAGTGGCCACTCCACAGAGACATCCCTGACTCTGTCCCCATCCCTGTGCCCAGAGCCACTGAGTCCTTGTTCCCATTCCCACCCTCATCCATGTGCCTAGTGCCCAAAGACGATGGCAGGTGTCGGGGGTGGCTCAGCCTTGGATATAGTCCAGGGCACTGTCCCTGGTCACCCCCAGCTGCTCCACAGTGGTGGGTGACAGCTGGTGGCCATAGTCCCAGATGTGGTGGTTGTCTTCCCAGATGCTGAAGTTATGGCTCAGTGGCTGGATCTCCAGCTGGGCAGCCCTGGTGTCACTACAGGCCCCACTGCGGCCCCAACCCCTCACCACAGAGAGGGGGGACACCCCCACCACCCCAGGGACACCCTCTCTGGCAATGCCCCCCACTTGGGAACATGCACCTCTCCTAGGGACACCTCTGCTGGGGACAGCAGGGTCTAGACCAGAACTGTGTTTAGGACCAGGACCAGGACCAAGGTGGTGAAAATGTTCAGAACCAGGACTTGGAAGCAAGACCAGGGCCAGAATCACAACCATCCGGATGGTTGTGGACCAGGACCATCTAGAGGGGCTGTCTGTGCTGGAAGGACATGGTGCCAGTGATGTGCTGCTCCTCAGGGCCCAGCATCCACTGCTGAGTGTTGTGCACTGGCTCAACCTGGTGCAGGCAGGTGTTGATGTGCATGTCCCCACAGCTGCTGCTGCACAGGTTGGTGTTGCACCTGCAACCAGGGACACCTATCTGGCATCCAGCCCTGGACTCCCAGGGACCCCAAATCCCACAGCATTTTGACTGAATGTATTCTTTTCAAACTCCATGCTTATCTTCCCTCTGATTTAATCGATTACTCTCAATTCAAACTGTATTCAGCTGTGGTTCATACCTGATTAATTATTTCATTGGATAACAGTCGTGTCATTTTGAAATAAATAGATAAAATTCTTAAAAGTTTTTTGAGCAGTGAAATCTCTAAAGCACCATCAGAGACCTTTTGACTGATGTCAGTACTTTCTGTTTTTCTTAAAAGTCTCCAGCAACAAGAGTTAAAAATGGTGGCTTGTTCTGAAAATTGAACTTACTTTTCAGAAGATTTTTCAGGGAGGATATGCTGAGACAAACAGGTGCTTTTATGCAGCATGAGACCATCTGTGAAGGTAAACAGTCTGCCTCTTGCCATCCATAAACCATATGGTGGTTAAAAAACCAGACCAGCACTGACTTCTAAGCTCATGTCTTGCAAGCCTCACGTATTCTGGTTTTTTGTATTGTATTTGCTCATGTATTTGCTATAGTGTGGAACTGAATTAAACAGTCCCTAGGTATAGTGTTGAAAACACAAGGTGACATATGTCCAGTCTGGAGCACAGTAGGAAGACTGTCTCCTGGTCTTCTAGCCAAGATAGAAAAGGTTTTAAAAGGCATGGAAGAGAAAGGAAGAGAAGGCTAAAGTGATCTTTTTTACATAGAATTTGGGAGTGAGAGGGAAAAATAAAGGGAGAGGCACCAAGCACTGAAATCCTTGAAGGAATGGAGATTTGACTATACTATGGAACAACATTGTACTGCCAATTACAGGTTTTCCATAGGCATTTGTAAGTTATGAGGGAGACCAGAATTTGAAAACCATGAAACATTTTTAAAGTTTCCCGCTGATCATAGTAGACCAAAAATGTAATCTGACTGGCCATGATAAGTTGTGCACAGTGAGAACTGATCTCTTTCCTTAAATCCGTAGGAGGGAGTCTGTGAGCAAAAAATCCTTCAGGAGCACTGTAAGGCACTAGATATTATAGCTGGCCAAAGTGGAACCATGACAGTGTCTGAGCCAGTTCCTGGACAAGGATGCTGTCTGCTCTCATCAGAGTGTGAAAAACATTCTCTTGTTCTAGTGTGCAGCCTGTCTGCAGGTATGGTATGAAGCTACTTCTGCTCAGCTGTAAGCAAGGCAGAGAATTTAGGCCAAAGTGCAATGACTCTTTTCAAGGAGCATGTAAGATAACTGATATGCAATTTTTATAAATGGGATAACTGCTGGGTAATTTGGAGGTGGAGAGTCTTGGTAGGGCACTCAGTAATCATGTCAGTAACACTTTATCAGGCTGGAATTACCTGGTGACCAGATTGGAACCACATAATTTAAGTATGGATGTTGCCAAACTGCGACCAATGACCAAAAAGCAATTCCGAGTCAATTGTTTCTTTGGAAGGAGTTTGAGAAGAAAAAGAGCAATAAAACGGCTACAAAAAGCTATTCAGAAGTAGAAAAAAACAGTGAATGAAATCAGGTACAAAGAAAAGATAAGATCTTCCAGCAGTAGGGGTGCAGATGCCTGTGGATTTTAATGAAGCTGACAGCACATCGAAGCCCACCAGGAAGCTGGAGGGAAACCTGTTGGTCAACCCAATAGAGTCTCCCTGTGGAGAATAGAGGGCTGGTTGACTATGTGCTTGTGTGTCTCTATTACTGAGAAGAATACCAAGTTTCCTTGTAGCTTTTGGTCAAGATTTTTATCTTTTGGAGTATGTAGGAGGAACCATGCCTACATACTGTGGCACACGTGTGAGAAGAGAACATCAAATAAATAATTGCATGGACTGAGGAATGGCAGTGCATGGACTGACTTGCGCAGGCAGCATGTTTGACTTGAACTAGGTGTTCTGCTGTTGACACTGTATTTCTGATTTTAAAGTGTCTGGCTCTTGCACTGTAATCACAGTACTTTTCAAAAAGCAGGTTTTTAATAAAAAAAATTTTAATATTAGTTTTTTTGCGTCGAGAATGGAAATTATGTTCCTGCTGCTCCCAGGACCAAACATGCTGACTTCTTTTTCAAGCAAGAATTTCTGTGGTTTTCAATGCTTGAAAATATGCATGGTAGTATTATAAGATGGGCTAATCTTGCAAGTCAACAACAGGTCTCTGAGGAGAGCATCGTTCAAAAATGATTTTGATATAGGTATAAAGGCAGGAATTCTAGCAAATACCAAAAGTATCTTAAAGTAGAAGCTGTCCTGTCAGTATGTTCAGTGATCTCAAAGCTATTCAAAGAAAATACAAAGAGAATCAATGCAATAAGAATGAAAGAATAATGAAACAAGGGTTGAGGGGGGACAAAAAAGGTAAAATTCACCTACAATGTCGCTTAGATGAGATGAATGGGGAATACAGGACTCACTACAGCCTACATGTTCCCTTATCCAGAACAGAATAAGCACATAATTAAAATACTTGGCCTGGCTAGTGTTAAAAATGTCTCTGACTTTAAGTGTTAGAGACATATACCCTCTCAAAGTATATGAAAATCCATATGTCTTTCCATTTCTACTCAAAGAAAGAAATTGTAGATGTTGCACTGATTAAACCTTGCTGTGGACAAGAATATGGCCATGTTTAGGGAGTTCACAAACCCCAAAAATGGTAACTGTAAAGATGGAATCATCTTTCTGGGACAGAAATCTTAGTTTCTTATTCCTGGATGAATGCTAGCTGCCAGTGTCCCTAATCATTGCTTTCTCTATAGTGAGTTAAACTCTTCCTCCAAAAAAATAACAAAAGCACAAACAAAACATTGAAGAATATCCACTGAATGCTTTGTCCAGCACTTCTGAACAATGTGAAATGTCAGTAATGCAGATGTTTGTAAGTGCATGCTGATGCTTTCAGGCAGTGACCTGGGTTGAGCACTTCAGGGAAACAAGCTCTAGATCTTCAGATTTGGACACTGTTAATCTCTGGCATCATCTGGGACAGTTTCTGGAGCTCAGGATATAGAAACTTTCAGAATCAGATGAGGGAGAGAGAAAGCCTCACTTTTGTTCAAGTTTCCTTGTAGGTAACTTAGCCTTTAAATGGGAACTGCCCTCTAGAAGAGTTTTTAGTTATTCCTGTTGCTCTGGTGTTCCCAACCATGCTCTGAAGATGGCAGTGCATAATACATTTCTCTAGTACTTCAACAGAGTAAGATTTCTGTGCTTGGGAAGATTTGGGTGTTTTGGTTATTGCAGTCACTGTATTGGAACTCATAAATATCTTTAGTGCGTGCTTTTTTTTTTTTTCCCCCCAATGTTTTACCTTCCCAGAAAAAAATATTTCCAGACTCTGAATGAACTAATCAAACAACACATCGTGTTCCCTTAAAGGAACAAACTAGCTCAGTTGTTGATAGGGAACTGCACATTTGTTTATTAAAAACTGATGCTTTAAAAGTAAGAGAAGATAGCTGGAGCTTTAAGAATGATGGAAAATTAGATGACCTTGCTGTTGCTGCAGGTGGCTTGGCACAACTTCTCAGCTCATTTGAGTTAATGTTTTTACATTTTCTTGTAGAAAATGATGTACATTACAGGACACCATGACCATTTTTTATTGGAAAACAGGTTTTTATTAATATCTGTCATTCATGATGGAGTTGTTCTAGAAAGAAATGCATGCAATGTTTCAAGTGTTGGCACACTATACAATTCTGTGGTTTGGAGATCTTAAACATTAAATCATGAGTTCTTTGGCAGGCAACATCAGCTTTCACAGACAAGAACACACATCTTGCTTCCTGAAATCATTAGCTTCTAGAGCAAGTTAGGTTTACAAATTATGTCTCAAAGTCCCCTCCTACACTCTCTTAAATAACCTTGTGCCCATTCCTAGTCATCAAAAACAAGCACTGTCCTGGTACCTGCAAACCTAACCACGAAGTCTTTGTTTTTTGTTAGAACACTCCAACATCAATGGCTCATCATTTATAGAATTGAATTCTCTCACTGGAGATGAAAATTAGAGTTTAGATGCCCAGGTACACAGCACAAACAGAAGTGTGAATCTGTTTGTCAGAACTGCAGTTTTAAGACAGTGAAATAATTTTTTGAAAAAACAAAACAGGGACGATTTATGGTAAAACCGCCTTCTCCCTAGAATTTCAAAGGTCAGCCCGTAAGTGTGATTGTCAGGTTAACAATCACAGCTACTCTGCCCTTCTGTAACCGTCCCTGGAGTCCAGGCCTGAGATCATCAGCACAAGAAGGATGTGGCACTGTTGAAGGAGTCCAGAGGAGGCCACAGCGTTGTTCTGAGGACTGGAACACCTCTGCTCTGAAAATAGGCTGAGAGAGCTGTGAGTGTTCAGCCTCCAGAAGAGAGGTCTCTGGGAACTCCCCATTGCGGCCTTCTGGTATGTGAAGGGGGCTTATAAAACAGAGGGAGAACAACTTTTTACATGTGCAGATAATGATAGGACAAGGGGCTTCAGTTTTAAACTAAAAGAGGAAAGATTTAGAGTAGGTGTGAGGAGCAAGTTCTTTACTCAGAGGGTGATGAGGCACTGGCACAGGTTGCCCAGAGAGGTTGTGGCTGCTCCATCCCTAGAAGTGTTCAAGGCTTGGAACCTTGAACATGTATAGGGCTTGAATGGAATTTGGAGCAACCTGGTCTAGTGGAAGGTATCCTTGCCCATGGCAGGGGAGCGGAGCAAGAAGCGCTTTAAATTCCCTTCCAATACAAAACATTCTGTGATTTGATGAACAGATAATGTCTCTCTGCAGAAATGCAAAAGTTAAATCACCTACCTAGAGTTGGTATGGTCCTGAAACTGCTGGGAAAGAGGCAGATCTGTCTAGCAGATACCAAGAATGGAAAGCAGCCTGTAGCCCCTGGCAGCACAGGATGCCAGCCTCGTCTTTTTTCCAACATTCATCTGCCTGCAGCAGCTCTGTATGATGCACTGACTCCCAAGTCAGCTTGCTCAGAGGCCTTTTCCTGACACATTCATACATTATTCATATTGCTGAACTATGGTTATTGCAAGTGGCAACTTCTTTATGGTACCTTTTCCTTGGTTTTAAAGACCTGTTGTTATGGATTTTACACAAATGGTTTGATGTCTAAAGTTAATTGAAGGCCAATCACAAGAAATTAAAACATTATTATGAACAACAAAAAGCAAGGCAGAAGGAGAGGTTGTTCTTTATTCAGTTGAATTGATACTGTAATAAGAGTTTAATATCACTGCCTAAGCTGCTGGGCCAGATAGGTCAGGCATGTGGATCACGCTGGATGCTATATTTACTCTGGCTCTGCCTCTCTCACAGGGCTGTATATAGCCATTCTCATTCAGGGAAAGCAACCTCAACAAATCAATGCTCTATGAAATTGCTAGAGGATCTTAATTAAACCTGTAATACAAAGGTTTACAAAAATACAGTAGAATGCTTTATCTGTATCTGGAGTCTTCATAGCCATAGTAAGTGATTATATTTTCTATATCTTTTAGAACAGCAAATACTTCTATTGTGAGTTTTATCTGAAATTTGGATTAAAAGCTTTTTCTCTGTCTTCTAATAATAGCAACATAATTAAAAGTTTGTAACTAAAAGTTCAGTGTTATATTTTAGCCTATGTTTTGCCTTAAGGCATAATAGAATGTACACATATATGTACATACAAAGATGGCAAAACCAGAAAAAACCCACAATATTACCCTGTCTATTAAATAATAATACTATGAACTGATTGGAAAACAACCTACTGCTTCAAGCCTTTGGTATTCTGATCACTGTATTTTCTATATATGAAGACATTGGGGTTTTAGATAAGAATATTTGAAAAATAATGAATGTGTATTATGATTACTGTACTCTCATATGGTCTTTTGTTTCCCACAGAGATGGGTATTCTTGCTGTATTTGCTCTACCATTGCTTCTCTTAGGGATCAGTGGAATTATTTATATTTACCAGTCAGTCAGGTGGCTTTTGTCCAAGTCAGCGGTGCAGAACAAGGTGGTGGTGATTACGGATGCCATTTCTGGACTAGGCAAGGGTGAGTTGTCTCATTTCTTTTCAGAGAACAGAAGTAGCCAGAAAACCACCCTGGGTGATATAACGTGCACACATTATCTTGTATATATTCATAACTGACTGGATGAAGGAGAAATTAGGAAATATATTTATGAAAAAACACTATGATTTTTAAATTTATATTTTTAGGCTCAGCCTCAGGAACTGTTGATAAACTTCTAGGAACTACAGAGCTTTGTATTTATTTAATTCAATAGAATGAGAGGTTTTATAAGCACACTGAGTGCTATTTTTAGCATGTTGTTGCTATGAGATCTTATTACATAGGCTGTCACAGGAGAGTAGTGGCAAATCATATAAACAGGTGTCATCTTACTCTTCACATGTTTCTTTTCAGCCCTTAAAGACTTCAAAATTTCTTGCTCCCTGTAAACAGCAGTGCTCACCCCTCTGTTGCTGTTTGTATCTCTGCCCCCTCTATCACCCATGTTACTCCTCTTCCCTTGACATCGTCCAGTACTTCCAACTGGGCAGCCTGGTTATGTGTAATTGTGAATTCAGAGGACAGAAGGAAAGGGAATGAGATAGTTTTTCTATTTAAATGGCTCAATGCCTGGGTGGCTCTGGCAAGACCTTGGAACCCCTTCCAGTGTCTGATGAGACTCCAAGAGATCTGGAGAGGGACTTTAGACAAGAGCCTGGAGTGACAGGACAGGGTGGAATGGCTTTCCACTGACAGAGAGCAGGATTAGATGGGATATTGGGAAGAAATTCCTCCCTGTGAGAGTGGCACAGGTTGCCCAGAGAAGCTGGCTGGTTGGTCTTTAAGATCCTTTCCAACCCATATGAGTCTGTGATATACTTTTTGGCTCCTGTTTCCTGCCTACATGATGTTGTTGATTAAAGGTACCAAGTCATATATTGCTTATGTGCAGTCCTGCTCTAGGCTCCACTTGAGGGGCAGTAGATTCAAGTGCCTGATAAGGCAAACATAGCTCGAGATTATATTTTGGTGTTTTTAATGAAGACTTGCTGTCTGTTAAAACCTTTGCACTCCCAAGCAGAGAACAGATGGGGAAAAGGAATGCTCCTGCAGAATTAGTCCTTAGCAGAACAGAGCAGAGATCTGCAATGGAGGCTGGTAGGACAAGGTATGAAATAATTCTGGCCTCCTCATCCTATCTGGTCGTTCCCTTTACCTGATACATTTCAGGTTCAGTTGAAGATAATATTAATGTGCATTTTCTCAGGTTGATTATTGTTGTGGTTTAAGAATGGTATTTCCCAATTTGGTGTTCACTGAAACGCCACGTGCTGCTTGCTCACTCCCTCCATCCCCCTGTGGAGGGATGAAGAGGAGAATTAGAGACACAAAAGGCAGAGATCATGGGTTGCAATAAGAACAATTTACTGGAAACACCAATGAGAGATGAAAATGAACATCAACAATACCAATGACAGAGGGTACAAGGTAGGCAAATGATTCACACCAATGACTTACCATGTGGAACCGACACCACCTGACTGCTCAGTCAACAAACCGGAAAGATGCGCCTGCCCTGTGCAGGGCTGGGGTGGGAGCGAACAACCCCAGGGTCCTGCCGTACATCTCCTAGCTACTGCAAAAGTTACCACCACTCTGGCAGGAACCAGGGCATTTATATTTCAATATTTTTACTGGGGAGGCATGATTCAAAGAACTTCTGTTGAGATTGGGTGTGTCGTAGAATTATAGGATGTCTGGGTTTCTAGATAAAAATCTCACTTGGAGCAGAAATACCACCGGTGCTAGATCTGTTTGGGTGTGGCTTCAAGACAAATCTTGGAACCTTCCAAGAATAAAGAACCTTTTTTGAACATTTCTCCAGCTGTCTTGCCTTTTTTTTTTTTTTTACAGGTTTGAATAAATAATGCAAAATTTACTGTGCAGTCCACTCATGCATATGGATGGCCATTTGTCCAGGGCTTTAAAATACTGGCTGTGTGGCCAGTAGCTCTGTATGTGAGCTCTTAAGAAACATCCACATTCTTTTTCCTACATGCCAGAATTTCTGAACTAAAGACAACATTCATCAAAGTTAAAAAACAAAACCAAACTATGATGATCAAAGATGTTTTCAATGGTTTATGGCTATTATTGAAACTTAATTCCTGTTTCTTCTGAGTGCTATAACTCAGAAAAGTCCAGGAAGCTTCTAGAGGAGGACATCATTAGTTTCCCTTTTTCACCTTTATTGCTGTTCACACAGTGCTCTTTTTTGCATTTTTTTCACAATATTGACCCAACTACTGTTTATAGGGAAAATAATAGTATAGTTGTACTGACAAATAATCTTTTGGGCTTTAAATCAAAACTTTTTCTGCACTAGAAAAGAAAGAAAATTAAAGACATTTGTAAAATTACTGTTGTAAATAATGAAAAAGATTGCTTAAATAAAAGCCTCCAGCTGCACGGGTTTGCAAAAATACAAGATTGATCCATAAATGCTTCCATACAGATATTAAGAGCTAACATGAGCATTTAAGAAATCTTAATTGGTAGATAAGCATAACTGGACTTCCTGTGAATACTGAAATATGAAGAAAATTCTTCTTGGAGGACAGCAAACCATAGCACTGGGGTTGTTCTGTTGTCAGCAAAGGCCATATGAGCTGAGACAAAACAAATAGGCTGAAAGGCGTCGTAAGACCATATTAATTTTCATTCAATGCTGCATACGTAGCTATCTTATAGACTTGATTTAGAGACCAAACATGAGAGCTCCAAGGCTGAGAGCTTTTTGGAAGACCTAATCAGGAAAAATAACTCTTGATTTTCAATCATAAAAGTACACATAATCCATTGTCAGCTAACTCTCTGGCTGCATGCAAAGCAGACCTCTGCTTTGGGGCACCTTGGACACATCATCGGCTGTATCCCCAGGCCTATTTGTGGGATGTTATGTATTCTGAGAAATAAAAGGCAGGCAAATGTGTGCTTTTCTTGGTGAGGAGGACAGCCTTGATGGATTCCTGGACTGTTTCATTGCAGTTGTGTCACTGTAGCAGCCTACAACTGCCCGAGGGATACAACTAACAATGAATTCCTCAAAGATTCCCATGAGGTATCTATGCTCCACATTTTTAAATGCCTGGTTTTGGTCAAACTAACAGGATGGTGAGGAATATATTCTTCCTCAACACTACCAAGAGAAGAAGTTGTTAAAGTGCTCCAGCCTTGTATCTCATAATTTGGCTTGAACTGGTCATACAACCCCATGAAGACCTGCACTAATGAGTTGGCTGCAGTCTTGTGCTGAGAGAGGATGATGGGTAACACTGACTGCCAGTTCCATTTGTTATGAGAGTCCCCACTTTCACAAAAGCACAGTCGTAGTTCACTTGTATGAAAAAGGGAGAAGAATCTTCCCCAGAGACCTAGCTTAAATTGGGGTAAATCCCTAGCTCAGAATGTGTCTGAATGAAGAAAATGCAGTGCCAGCCACAGCGTTCCGAGAAACTTTCCATTTCCCTATTCAGGAAGGATGTGGGGAATGTAGCTTGAGAAAGCTGATCCCTGATGCCTCTGCTGATTACTGGGAAGGTTTAGTACTCAGGAGATAAAGCTCTTGGGGTAAGTTACATCTGGAGGGAAGGGTCTGTATGAGAAAGGGGTGTTCCGCCTGTGCACCAATGGGTGGTGAGTTTATCTGTATTACTCTTTATCAAAGTTGTAGATGAGCTCCATGTTGCCAAGAGTTTTGTGAGGGTAACACAGAGTGTTACTGTTTATTGAGGTTTGTTGTCTTCTTTATAGTGCATCACACATGAAGGTTTGCAAAAGATGCACTTTGTATTGTAACAACCTTGGGTGTTTTTGTATGCAGTTTTATTTATAGCAAAAGTGTCTGTGAAATATATTCAGAAAAATTTTTCTAACTCAAATGCATTATTCATTAACTGACATATTGTTCTTTTCTTGATTACTTTGTTATTAAATCCCATTACTAAACAGTAGCATTGTACTGTACCATTAATTGTTCATTATAACACTACATTGAATTAGAATTTATTACTCACATATGTACTATTACATTTCAGTGCTTTCTTCTTTTTTTATACATATATGTTCTCTCAAAATTAGTTAATTTTAAAGCATGGATTCAACATCTTTAGCAAAAACAGCATCCCATTTCAAGCAAAGTAAACAAAATCAAATTGTCATTATTGTAATTATTTCTTTTGAATGTATTTCTCTCCTAGAATGTTCTCGTGTGTTTCACTCAGGAGGAGCAAGGCTTGTGTTGTGTGGCAGGACATGGGAAAAGTTAGAAGCCTTGTATGATGCCTTAATTAGTGTGACAGACCCAAGCATGGTATGTATTCATAGCCTGAGGTAAACACCTTGTTCAGGTACACAATGTGCTTTTAGACCCAATAAAACAAGGTACAAGAAGCATGATTCACTGTTAATGGTGACTTTGGTCACCCAGGTAATACAACAAACAGAGTCCAGAGAAAGAAACGCCTCTGAAGGTCTTCAGAGCACAATGTCAAAATCCTTGAGCTAATCCAAAGCAGTTCCTGTAAATCATCTGAGTACTCCTGCATTCTGAATAAACCACCCAGAGAGAAATCTTCAGCAGAGAAATTAACCTGATAATTTGAGTGAAAGGGATCCAAGTGCTTCATTTGTACAGGAAATGTCATTAATTTTTCCTGTAAATCATGTGCTCAAGGACCGGGAGACAGGTCTAAAGATCAAAATAATTTTTAGTTTCTCCCCCTCTTTGGAAGAAATCACAGCTAGAACACTTCCAGGAATGGGACAGCCACAGCTTCTCTGGGCAACCTGTGCCAGAGCCTCAACACTCTCATAGGGAGGAATTTCTTCCCAGTATCCCACCTAATCCTGCCCTCTGGCAGTGGGAAGCCATTTTCTCCTGTCCTGTCACTGCAGGCCCTTGTCCAAAGTCCCTCTCCAGATCTCTCTTGGAGCTCCATTAGGCACTGGAAGGGGCTTGAAGGGCTCCCCAGAGCTTTCTCCAGGCTGAGCAATGCCAACTCTCATTACTGAACTACCTCCTTGCTAGAGGGGGTTAAAAAAACCCCTAAGTTTATGTGAGAATAATAAAAACACTTTATTCAAATGTCAAGATAAATTAATTTACAAGACAAGTAAATAGAAATAAATTTTTTAGATAACAATTATCATTGCTATGAGTCTTTTCTTTATTAGACATATGCGCCAAAGCTCATACTTCTGGATATCTCAGACATAAACTGCATTCGAGATGTAGCCAAGGAAATCCTGAATTGCTATGGCTGTGTGGATATACTAATCAACAATGCAAGTATGAAGGTGAAAGGAGCAGTGCAGAGCATTTCACTGGAACTTGATAAAAAGATAATGGATGCCAACTATTTTGGACCTATAACATTAACCAAAGGTAGTTGTAATATCTACAGTTCAGCTGTCACTCGTTTCACTAAATACATTAAACTCTTTTACTTATGCAGTTTTTCTTGTATTTCTCTTTTGCAGCCATTCTTCCCAACATGATCTCAAGAAGAACTGGTCAAATTGTTCTCATTAATAGCATTCAAGGGAAAATAGGAATCCCATTTCGTGCAGCCTGTAAGTTATGCATAGCAAAAACATTGTAATGCATAGGTTGTGAGTAGTCCATGACACTGATAATAGGTTATTAAAAGTGCTAATTTACACCCTAATTCAGTAGCCTACTAATACAATATTTGGCTGAAATTTTTTTGAAGAAGTGAAACTCGGCAACAAATAGTTAAAATAGTACCTTTGAAATGTAGCTACTGCCTAAAGTACTTGAGGATAAGAGGATATCAAATGTGACAGAAAATTTTTTATATATAATATATATATAAATATATATTGCATAGATAGAATATATATCTACATCTATATTTGGTCATATTGGTAGAAGCCATCATGAAGTGTAGTGTATAAATATAAAATATGAGTAGATACAAGCTACTGCTCTGCAAAGGAAGCCTCATGCTTTTAATGTATTTATGCGTGGGAGTTTAAAAGGAGATGCAGTAATTGTATTCTGTTTGACTTTCTAGAAATTTTTCAAAGTGGTCTTTCATCCAGAGCTCTAAGGAAAATAGGCTGTCCTGAATTATGATGAAAGGTCTTTGCATGAATAAAATACAAAGTTAGTGGACAGAAAATATATAATAATAATAATGGCCAGTCTTCGCGAGCGAAGATCCGGGGAAGGTCTTTACACCTTCCAGCCTGCGCATTGGATTTTTTAGGTGAGACACAGTGTGCGCGGAACTGAGCCCACCCTTTAATCCTAAGGTTCATCTGCCAGGGCCAAGCGAGCTTGGACAGTGGCAGAAAATATAATAAATAATAATGGCCAGTCTTCGCGAGCGAAGATCCGGGGAAGGTCTTTACACCTTCCAGCCTGCGCATTGGATTTTTTAGGTGAGACACAGTGTGCGCGGAACTGAGCCCACCCTTTAATCCTAAGGTTCATCTGCCGGGGCCAAGCGAGCTTGGACGGTGGCAGCGAGGTCCTTAGGACGTAGGTGGGTTGCCTTTAAGGGCTAACGAGCCCCACCTGCCCGGGAGTGGCCCTGACCGGGAATCGAACCCGGGTCTCCGCGGTGATAGCGCGGCGCCTTTACCACTAGACCACCAGGGGACTCCTGGCAGAAAATATAGGATAGATATAAATAGACATTTTAAACTTGGGATGGATGTAAATAGACATTTTTAACTTGACAAGAGGTCAGAGTGAATGATGAACTCTGAATTAAAAGGTCTGCAAGACCTCACGATTGTGACCTTTTGTTCCATGAAAGCAAATTACAGTGATAGAAACTGTAAGGAAAGCAGTAGACAAAATAAAGTGAAACCCATCTTTATGTCTTTGTACATTTATGCATAAATCTGTGCAATGCCCATATCTTGAACATTGTGTGCAGTTTTGGTGTCCCATCTCAGAAGAAGTATAAGGACTACAAAAAAGACTCAAAAAAGAAACAACACATTGATGTGACATCTGGAATGGTTTCCGTCTAGGATACAGATAACTGTGTCGAGATACACTATTTGTATATAAAACCATGAGAAGCAGAAGAGCCAACAGAGAGAGTTTTTACAATGCTCCTACTAATATTATGTTGCATGAAATGAAGCTACCAGAAGAAAGAATGTCAAAATAAATTAATGGAGAAGCATCTCTCCATTCCCAGAGCCCCTCTGCCATTGCTTAGATTATATCAGGCATAGGTGGATTTTCATTGTAAATTGAGTCAAATAAAAGGTGAATGAGTGCTTTGCAGCTCTGCTGCACTGAACACACAGTTCCATTTGTTGGTCAAGGTTCACATACTGTCATCTTGCTTTAATACCATCCTCAATAAAAAGACACTAAAAGCAGATTAAAAAAGTCTTGACATTCAGTTACTTTCACTTTAATTTTAAAAGTAGCTTGGATTGCATCTGCAGGGCAAAGTCCCAGTTAGTGTACAAAACAGTTAGTACTCCTGCATTCCAGCAATGCACATGTATTTAACTGCGTTTTATGAATGTGTTAAAAACTGCAGAAACACATTTTTGAACTTGAAAGATGCTATAAGTATTATTTTCTAACACAGGATGTTCCCAAACCCAGGACTATTTCCGACTGGGAAATGCTGGACATGTCCAGGAGACTGCCTGTATACCTCATACACTATTGTCCTATACAAATAATTTCTTATTGCTTGTTTTGAATATGTCCTATTATAATTTCACTGGGTGAAATAATCCATTGTTCTTTTGCCTTTTGGCTAATCATTCCATGCTCATTTTCCCAAACCTTGGTGTCTTATGGAGCACTATCATACATCTACGTCCATGCAATCATATTTCTAAACATGCATATATGGGCTTTTTTCTTTTAGATGCTGCCTCCAAGCATGCTGCTGTAGGTTTTTTTGATTGTCTTAGAGCTGAAATGGAAGAATTTGATATTTCTGTCAGCACTGTGAATCCAACCTTCATCTGTTCATACCATCGCCAGCCAGCACCTGGCAACTGGGAGGCATCTATTTGGAAATGTAAGTTTTGATGGATGAAGATGGGGCCCATGTAGCACAATGGAAGCTTTTTCAGGGTGAAGACAGGAGCACAGGAAAAATAATGGAAATGACAGAAAGGATGAATGGTATGGGTAGCAAAAGAAAAGAGATATTAGAGAGGTAAGATGAGCCTGGTGAAAAGAGAAGGAACATGGAAAGAAACAACATTATGTGAGAAAATAAATACACTAGGGCATCAAGAATGGAGATGGAGGAGAGCATGAAAGGTCCAAAGGTTCCACTGCACTCAGGTTGTTCCTTCTCTTAGGGACTGTCAAGATTTTACATCAAAATTGTAAAAAAATCTTAGGGATGTACTGATAAAGAGAATGGAATGGATAAGGGCTTAAAAGTATGTAGGAATTCAACTGATTTGACTGATGCACTAGTTGTGTGTCTTCACCACCATTCCCTCAGAGTACCTGTCTGTCTGTTTGTCTGCCTGTCTGTAGCTGTCACTCCTCTCTAAAAAAGATTTACAGTCTTTTTCAGGAAGGTGGCATATGGTGTACACCCAGTGGAGGTAGCAGAGGAAGTCTTGCGCACAGTGAGCAGGAAGAAGCAGGAGGTTCTTATGGCCAACCCTATCCCCAGAGCAGCAGTGTACATTCGAACCTTCTTCCCTGAGCTGTTTTTTGCCATTGTTGCCTCAGGTATTAGGGAAAAGCTAAAGACAGAGGAGGAAAATTGATTTTGTTCAGTTATTTTCACTGGGTTTGACTTGAAAAAAAAGTTTCTGTTTCAAATGTCAGTGATTTCTGCTGCTTGCTGTGGGTAGAATAAAGCTACTACCACTGACACACATTCACCCATGGAGCTTCTACTCTTCTGGATTTAGGGAATATGAAATGTCATTTTTTACATTAGAACAGTATGGGAAAAGCCCTACTAGGAACTCTGTCACTGCATAATACAGTGATTCCCAATCTAAGTCAAAGTTTGGGGACATGCAATAACTCACCAGAATAATCTGTTAGTGCTAGAAATGATGGGAACTTACAGGAACAAAGAGATGGGGAAGCAGGGATATGTGGGAGAGAGAGGAGTAAAAACCAATGGAAAACGAAGTTAGAGCCTGGCTCAGAGTGTTCCTCAGATAAGCTTTTTGGAAATTCTAACAGGATATGCAAATGGCAAACCCAATAAAGGCTTATCTGGTTCAATATCCACAACAGGATCCTGGAGTACATGCTTAAAAAAATAGAGCAGCCTTCCAGGTTCTGGCATTCTGCTTCACAGTTTGAAACAGACTCTGTCTCTGCATTTTTTAAAAAACTATCTATATTTCACACAAATCTTTCAAGTCCTTATTTCCCTGAGGAAAGGAACTAGTCATATATAAAAAAAGACTGCCTTACATTTATTTTAAGCCTGACGTCAGGTAATATTCTCTGATATCTCCTACTTCTTTTAGTGTGAGAGACACAAAATAATGGTACTCAAGTCATTCAAGCCCAATCATTCATGCCCATCATACACTCCATGCAGTTGTCTGTTTTCCAAATTGGAGAATCCTGTAAACTATTCACTCTCTCTTTGAGAGAAGTCTAGGTTATCCTTCTTTATAATTTTTGGCTTACCATTTGGTTTTCGTTTTTGTTTCTGTTTTAGTTTTTTTAAGATGAGCAGCCCAGAGCTGCATGCAGCATTCAAAATAAATAAACAATTTGGATTCAAAGCATACAGATACTTCCTGGGTTTTTCACTTCTTTTCTTCTTTTGCATGTCTTATGCAAATTCCCTCTTTCGAGACATTTTTCTGACTTTTCTGGCTGCTCCTGATCATTGAGTTTCCTTGTTGACTCTGCCATATATTGTAATTAATCATCATGTCCAACATAAACATGGCCATTGTTCATGTCGATTGCCTAAATTCCATATATTTCCAAAATTCTCTTACTCCTACTCATTCCAGGCTCCTCTTCCCATCACATTTTCCCAGTTCATGCTGAGGCCTTGCTCTGCCTCTTGTCTCATCCTGGGGGCTGAACCAGAATATAAATAACGCTAATGTGAGGGTGTCCTGATCTTCAGTTTTTACATCTAAGGGCTTAAATTCTGTGTCCCAAACCTTCTGCCTTCCTTTCTTGTGCCGTCAGTACTCAAAGAGGTCATGACCACTTACATTTTGTCCTGTCAAAGTGCCTTGTTTGCAGAATACCTACAAAGGAAATAGCTACTCTGGAACCATGGAACCAAAGTGCTCTTGCTGCTACAAGTCCCATTGCTCGTGTAACTTTCAACAGCAGATCACTTTTATACCTCATTCATCAGCAGAGTCTCCAAACATGAAAGGAATTCTGAGGGCAAGGAAATATATGGCTATCATTTTGTGGGGATATTAACTTTTTTTACTGTATCTCTTATTCATTTGCTCTGACTTGGAGAAACCAGACTCAGCGAGGTGGTTGACCAGTGGGGAGGAGACAGTTCCTGCAGTATCGGTTCGAGTTTCGTCTCTTTTCTGTTATAGCACTGGGGTTTTATTGTTATGTGAATGACTATACCCCAACTGGGAAGTCAAACAATGACTTTGTTAAAAATTTTCTAGCTCCTCACCAGAACTCTACTCCTTCAAACAAATGGGCATTTGCTGTGGTCTCAGTTTTACCTGTGTCTGTACCTCGGCAAAAGCCAAGCCCTTCACAATTCCAAAAAACCCAAATATAGAATAACTAGGTAATTTAATTAGAAAAGGATCATGAATCATAGGACATCACAACTAAACATGAATCAACACAGTGGCTGCCTCAACCCTGGAAGTGTTCAAGGCTAGGTTGGGGTGTCCCTGCCCATGGAAGAGGTTGGAACAAGATGGTCTTTAAGGTCCCTTGCAACCCAAACAATTCTCTGATTTCCTTGATTTCTATTATTTTCTTGCTTTGTTGTAGAAACAAGTGGATTACATGTTAAAATAAGCTGAATAATCCTTCTGCTCCATTTTGCATGTTCTAGATATCAGCAGAAATTCTTCATTTAATTTCACTTACTTAAAAAATGTGAACAGTTCAAGGAGCCACAGTAAAAAGCAGTGAGAGTGACAAAGGTGACCCATCACGAAATTTTTACAGAACAGATGTGTTTTAATCTAGAAAGTAGAAGGAAGATATATCTTAATGGTTTTCGAATTCCTAAAATGTACTGCCAAGAAGATAGAATTAAACATTTTGCTGGAGGAGGACAATGTGCTAAAATTACTGCGAAGGAGATTTACAGGGACAGAATTTTCTACTAAGAATAGTTAAGTACAAAGGATAAATTGCCACAGAAATTTTCAAATGCCTGTCTTTGGAAGCTTTAAAGAAGAGATTAATGAAACATCTGTAAAAAACCAATGTAGCTTTAGTTTATCCTGCCTAGAGGAAAAGAAGGATTAGATGACCTTTTAAACAGGTCACACTTTTCTCTTATTAGATGTTTTTTTCTCATCTTGAGAACAGTGTTTCTCCACTGGTTTGTCAGAAGCAGTATTTTTTTTCCCTCTGGATAAATAAATTATTTAATTTGAAGTTTTCTATTCTGTTTGTCTGTCTCGGTTTTGCTGTCTCACCTGTGGATCTCTCTTGTATATAAAAATATTATGATAACAAATAGAAATATTATAAGTTCAGTAAGAGGTATTTTCTGTGAGCCTTACTCAACTGTATTTTAATCTATGTAGATTCCTTAATAATACTAACTTTTATAAATGAAGACAGAACTAGGCCCACAGATTTAGTTGTAGGTCATAGGAGAAAGATAATCAGCTATAGCTCCTTTAATTAATTTTTTAAGCTCACATGCCCAAAGGGCACATCGTTTTCTTTCAGTGTGATCTGCAGTTACACTATTTTAAATTTACGGGGGTTTGTGCTGAAATCAACTCTTACTTTTGTTGTTCAAGAAAATTGACATTGTGAGGCATTTCTAGACATAAGGACCCTTGAGGTAAGGAAGAATTTAAAACTGAGGAGATTCTTGTTTAATTTTAGACATCTGTCCTAGATATAGCCCACTGAAGGATGACCTCCCAGACTCCCTTCTTAAGTGGTGGAAAGAAACAGGTGTCTACAGCCTGATTTATCTGACTTACAGCTCAGGATAATAGGAATTGCATCCCAGAAGTGCCAGTACAAGTGTAGCTCTATGTACCTGTGCCACAGGTATCTGAAGTTTACTGAGATGCCACATTCACCAAGACTGTTTGGGTCTAAAGAATCAGAATAAAAGTGCCACAGTTTTTAACCTGCCTTCAAATCGTATGGTTCCAGGATTACTGGGAGTCAAAAGTTAAAATAAGGGCCAAAATACAAAACCCTGGATTACAAATAGGGACAAGAAGTCTTGCATTTCCTCATGTGACTTCATTTACCAGACATTCAGCAGAAGACATATGTCTTCTTGAATGGTTAGTATGTGAGAAAAACAGACAGTCTGAGATTTAAGAGTTGATCTGGATGCGGTCCTATTGGACAATTATTTTAAAGCCCTTGTCCACAATGAGCACTTTATAAGAGTGCAGTCCAACTGTAAGAAAAATCCTGAAGAAACACCATATGACAGAGGCTGGCTATCTGTGTTAGTAAATTGCAGGGTAAGAAAAAAATGAGGTGCTTACTTCAATTAGATCCTTTAAAGGACTTATAGGCACTAACTGAGTATGTTCCTGGATGAGGTGGAAGTTCCTCAGTGACTCCCAGAAACAACATGAGGTGAGTAAAAATGTATTGTAAAAAGAGATGTATTACAAATGCAAGAAGCAGAAAGTCAGATGGAATCAGGAATAATTCCTATATCAGTGAAGATGTTAGAAACATCTCCATCACAAAGAAATATGTGAAAGTAGAGAAAGGAATCAAGGTCTTGTGTTCTGGTCAAGGGATTGAGACTGCTTCTACCAAAGTGAATACCAAACTCTCTAGCAACTGCTAGAGAGGAACGGAAGGTAGCAGTTTCAGAACACTGTAATGGATAAAGACAGACTTTTCTAAAGATGAAAAGGGAAATATTACTGTCTGCTGCTACCTGGTGGGGTGGTATAGAGAAGATGGAGCCAGATACTTCTCAAATATGCACAGTAGAAGAAAAAAAGGTAATGGACACAAATTGGAGGACATGGCATTCTGATTTCATGTTAGGAACGCTTTTTCTACAGTTGCAGCAGTGAAGCACTGGGACAGGTTGCCAACAAGGTCAGGAAATCTCATTTCTTCAATATATTCAAAATTCAACTAAGTCTCTGAACGACATTATTGGTCTTGCTTTCAGAGGGAAGGTTGGACCAGACACAAACCTCATGACATACTTCTCATGACAAACTTACAATTTAAATTATTCTTTGATTGTGAGTCTATAGGTATAGGTGAGCCTTGTAGTGGGTTTCCAGCCAAAATAGTTTTGATACTTGCTCAGCCAGAGAGTGTGATTCTGTCAGTTTTCCCACTGGATGGGAAAACTTGGATAAATACCAAATGCTGAAACCACTGAAAATAATGAAACTGCAGTCAAGTTAGGCATAAATCATAAAATCAACCAACACATGAAAGTTATGATGAGATGACTTTGGGTATAAATACCTGACTGACATTGTTTCGTGAGTCTGACAAAGCTCTATGTGTTCAGGAATCAGCTGCAGGTTGCAGTCTACTGCAGCTCCTATTCATATTTGGTTGGTTGGTTGGTTGTTTTTTAAAGTTATGACCCACCCCATGAGGTGGGGTAACTGAGGTTCTTGCTAATAGATCCCTTTGGGTGGATTAGAGTGAAACACTGAATGACCAGTGTGTGTATATATATATATATATATATATATGGTAGGTTTATTTTGAAACAATTAAATTGCAATGGAAAGGAGTTATGTAGACATTTTTGTTATCTATAGAAATATAGTAATATAAAAGTATAAAAATACCACTTAAGAAATAGAAAGAAAGGATAAGATTATATAGTAGAGAGGAAAGATATCACCACCTGTGGACAAATTTCAATGCCTGTTGGTGAAGGTGATGGTCACAGTCTTGATCCATCAGGGCTGGGGGCCCATGAAACCAGAGGTTCAATGGGTTAATGTTTAGGTTCAGGTAAGAATGGACAGGTACTCCCCTGGAGGGAGTTTTGCACTGTCTGATGTAACACTGTGCAGTGCCTGCAGTCCTCTGGTGGAAAGCCTCAGAAATGAGTCTGGGGGTACCTTGGGTGTCCTTGGTGGTTTATGGCCCCTTCTAAGACATGACAGCTGCCTCTCACACCGGTGTAGCTGAGGCAGTTATTCCCCATCAGAAAGGATGAGAACCTTCAGGCCTATGTGTGAATGTCCCAATATATCCCTCTCATGGGTTTCTTTGGCTGGGTTTTGGTAGCAGGGGGGACTATAGGGGTGGCTTCTGTTGGAAACTGCCAGAAGCTTCCCCTGCCCCATGGAGCCAATGCCAGCTGCTCCAGGATGGACCCCCTGCCACTGGCCAAGGCCGGGCCAATTAGA